TGTCCCTTTGCCCATCTTTTCATTCTTTTGTTTCTGCAGACTCCCCTGCTGAGCTTCTCCCTGGACATGACTCTGCCACAACCGGAAGGTTATATCAACTCAGTTCTAGTCATTTGCAGAGTGCCACAGTACCAGAGGAGAGAATCCGCCTGGCCCTTTTGGGTTAGGTTCCCTATGTGGTTCATTTGATAAAGTCACATAGTATAAAAATGGCTGCTGGGGCCACATCTGTGAGGGAGGGGCAGTTTTCGGAGGAAGAGTGTTGTGGTCAACTGGCTTAGTGTGCAACGGAGGAACCAGATGATCCAGCGTTAGAACTTAATCTAAATTAAAAATAAGCTCTGTGCAGGTACCTGGGTGGTACAGTTGGTGAGCATCCTACTCTTGGTTTCAGCTCTGGATGTGATCTCAGGGTCATGAGATCAAGCCCTGCGTCAGCTCCTCGCTCAGTGCGGAGTTTGCTTGAGATTCTCTCTCCCTCTCCCTCTGCCCCTCCCACTCGTGTCCTCTAGCTCTCTCTAAAATTAAAAAAAAACAAAAAAAACAAAGCTCAGCTCTGTGTAAGGGTCTGAGGTGCTCCCCTCTGAAGAAAGAACCTGAGGTTTGGCCCCATTATTGTGTACACACATTGTTTTTTCCTGAGGCCTTGACTATCTACTCCCTGTTTTTCTTTTTTTTTTCTTTTTTAAGATTTTATTTATTTGACAGAGAGAGAGATAGTGAGAGCAGGAACACAAGCAGGGGGAGCGGGAGAGGGAGAAGCAGGCTTCCCGCCGAGCAGGGAGCCCAATTCGGGGCTCCATCCCAGGACCCTGGGATCATGATCTGAGCCGAAGGCAGACGCTTAAAGACTGAGCCACCCAGGCGCCCCTTTTTATTTTTTTAATTTGATACGATTCATACACCATAAAAGCCACCCTTTTGAAATGTACAGTGCAGTGACTTTTAGGATATTCACAAGGATTCTGCAACTATCACCATTATGTAATTTCCAGAACATTTCCTCACGCCCAACAGAACCCTCATACTCATTAGTAATCAATCCCCATTGTACTTTGCCCCAGCCCTAGGCAACCACTAACTGACTTTCTGTCTCTATGGATTTTCCTATTCTGGACATTTCATATAAACAGAATCATAGAATATGTGGCCTTTTGTACCTGGCTTCTTTCACTTAGCATCATGTCCTCAAGATTCGTGCACATTGCAGCATCTATTTATGGCTGAGTAATATTGCATTGTCTGGACATACCACATTTGTTTTTCCATTCATCAGCTGATAGACATTTAGGGGATCTCCACGTGTTGACTGTTATGAATGATGTTGTGAACACTCATGCACAAGTTTTTGCAAGAACATATCTTATCAATTCTCTTGGGCATATAGTACACCCAGGAATGGAACTGCTAGATCACATGGTGATTGTGTAACATTTTGAGGAACTGCCAAACTGTTTTCCAAAGGGGCTGCACCATTTATTTTTCCCAGCAGCAGTGTATGAGTCTTCCAATTTCTCCACAGCCTTGCCATCTTTCTGACTGTCCCTTGTTTTAATTATAGCCATGCTAGCAGATGAAGTGGTATCTCATTGTGATCTTGATGCACATGTCCCTAGTGAGTGATATTGAACATCTTTTTATGTTCTTATTGGCCATTTGTGTATCTTCTTCGTAGAAATGCTATTCAAATCTTTTGCCCATTTTAAATTGGGTTGTCATTTTACTGATTAGTTAGAAGAGTTAAAGAAGGGGCGCCTGGGTGGCTCAGTTGGTTAAGCGACTGCCTTCGGCTCAGGTCATGATCCTGGAGTCCCAGGATCGAGTCCCACATAGGGCTCCCTGCTCAGTAAGGAGTCTGCTTCTCCCTCTGACCCTCCTTTCTCTCATGCTCTCTGTCTCTCATTCTCTCTCTCAAATAAATAAAATCTTAAAAAAAAAAAAAAAAAAAAGAAGAGTTAAAGAACTCTTTGTGCACCTGGCTGGCTCAGTTGGTAGAGCATGCGACTCTCAATCTCAGGGTCATGAGTTCAAGCCCCACATTGGGTGTGGAGCCTACTTAAAAAAAAAAAAAAAAGAAGAAGAAGAAGAGTTAAAGACTCTTACTTAGGATATTTAAGATACTAGACCCTTATCAGATACATGTTTTGTATTTTTCACATACTGTGGGTTGCCTTTTCATTTTCTTGATGGTGTCCTCTGAAGCACAGAAGTTTTAAATTTTTTCTATTTTTCGTTTTGTCACCCACCTGTGCTTTTGGTGTCATGTCTAAAAAAACCACTGACTAATCCAAAGTCACAAAGATTTACACTTATGTTTTCATCTGAGTCTTGCAGTCTTGCTCTTACACTTCAGTGTTTGATCCATTTTGAATTAATTTTTACATATGGTAAGAGAGACAGGGGTCCAACTTCATCATATGCATGTGGCTATCCAGTTGTTCCAACACCATTAATTGAAAAGACTATTCTTTCCTCATTGAATTGTCTTGGCACCTTTACTGAAAATCTCATTTTTTTTTTAAGATTTTATTTATTTATTTATTTGAGAGAGAGAAAGAGAGAGAGAGAGCACAAGAGTGGGGAGGGTCAGAGGGAGAAGCAGACTCCTTGCTGAGCAGGGAGCCCGATGCGGGACTCGATCCCGGGACTCCAGGATCATGACCTGAGCCGAAGGCAGTCGCTTAACCAACTGAGCCACCCAGGCGCCCCGAAAATCTCATTTTTTAAAAACTAAACTCCCATGGTTGTTCAGTAACTACACTCAGTCAAACATATGACAAATATACAACTGAATGTGATTAAGATGTAGGTTTGTGAGGTAACAGGGTGATGGGTATTAAAGAGGGCATGTGTGGTGATGGGCACTGGGTGTTATATGCAACTAACAAATTGTTGAACACCACATCAAAAACTAATGATGTACTGTACGTCGGCTAATTGAACGTAATAAAAAAAAAATCCATGCAGCAGCTTTGTAAGATAAAAAAATAATAAAATAAAGATTTTATTTATTTATTTGAAAGAGAACACACAAGCATGAGCAGGAGGAATGGCAGAGGGAGGGGGAGAGGGAGAAGCAGGCTCCCCACTGAGCAGGGAGCCAGGCGTGGGGCTCCATCCCAGGACCCCAAGATCATGACCTGAGCTGAAAGCAGACACGTAACCACCTGAACCACCCAGATGCCCCCAAAGGAAATCTTTCAATAAGTATAACAAAAATCAGAAATAACAAAAAAGAATTGGCAGCAATTTTTCTTTCCTAACAGGACTTAAAGTAGGGAAACTACCTCTGTAGGGAGAGTTGGGACTCCCACTTTTTGCTTTATCCAGTTCTGTATTGTTCGAATTTGTTACAAAGAACATGTTTTACTTTCCTAATTGAGATGGTCTTTCAATCTTTATAAACAATTGTTTAGGGGTGCCTGGGTGGCTCAGTCGTTAAGCGTCTGCCTTCAGCTCAGGTCATGATCCCAGGTCCTGGGATCGAGCCCCACATCGGCCTCCCTGCTCCGCAGGAAGCCTGCTTCTCCCTCTCACACTCCCCTTGCTTGTGTTCCCTCTCTCGCTGTCTCTCTGTCAAATAAATAAGTAAATCTTTAAAAAAAAGATTTATTAAAAAAAACAAAAGAACTGTTTAACTTCAAAAAAAAAAAAGATGTAGGTATGTGAAAAGTCCCAGCTGTAATCAGCATTTACTTTCACTTTATACAAACTAAGATTTCTCTGGCTAGTACACTGGGTATATTCACTATCTTGACTGTGGTGATGGTTCCATGGGTGTGTGTGTGTGTATATGTCAAACTTACAAAATTGTACACTTTAAATATGTGCAGTTTTTTATATGTCAATTATACCGCAATAAGCTGTTTTTAAAAACAGATAAAGGGCAAGAATATAAATGAAATAACTTTCTTTTCCTAATCATATTTCAAGATCAGCTTCTCTCGTTGGTCCTGAGGATATAATACCAACTAGTAGTTTAGAAAAACTTATTTATACATTTCTCCTACCTGCCTTGTTCCAAAACACAAGCAAACCACTTATTTTTTAAGATTTTAAGTAATCTCTACACCCAACATGGGGCTTGAACTCACAACCCCAAGATTCAGAGCCACATGCTTACCAACTGAGCCAGCCAAGCGCCCCCAAAACACATGCAAACCATTTAAATTCAAGATTTGTAAGGCTGGGACCATCTCATTACTGTGGGATAAATATTAACAAGAGCTGGAACTGAGTTTGGCTCTTAAGGAAAGAATTTTTAAGTCCCCTTCCAATGAGAATTTAGCAGCTATATATTCCTTTTCTACATAGAATTTAAGCCCTCCCAATTGCACCAAGCTCAATTTTGGCAAAGACTTCACTTGCCTGTTCACCCTCATATCCCTAGCATCAAGAATACTGCCAAACACACAACAGGCACTCAGTAATATCTGTCAAATGAATGGATAAAATCCCACTTAATCACCACCTTTTCTTAGGACCATTTTGGACTGAGGCAGGTGGCAGCTCTATTCTTCCTTCTAACTCAACAATTCCATCTCTAGAGATAGATGCTATTTCCTTCAAATTTTATTATTCACTTTTTTCATCTGGAGCGGCTTAGGAACCTCACATCCAGGAAATGAACTAAAATATTTTATCAAAGATTATACATAGGATCCACAAACTAGAAGCAATCAGGTGAGAACGGTTAGGAAAATCATGGTGTACTCTCTGGAAGAAACAGCCCATTTATTAAAAACGATCATTATGACAAGTCTGCAATAACACAGAAAACACGAGGAGTATGAACCAGGAAAAAAAAAAAATCATCATTGCCTGTGATTTACAAACTAAAATTTTATACACATCTGCCTGTGAGAATTTATACTCCACAAAGGCAGGCTGTTTGGGCTTGTTCTGTTCACTGAACAGGGCCTGGCATATTGAAGGTGCTTATTAATACTTGTTGAATGCATTAATGAAACTCAATATAAAATAGATCTTTGAAAACATACCTGAAAGGGAATGAATAAACGTGGAAATTTATGTTCGAGGAGTAGAACCGTGGGCGTTTCCTCCACTTCCCTTTATTTTCCAATTCTCCCTAAAGTTGTGATAAAACTTTCTCAGTTGAAAGGACGGCCACAGAAACCCTCCCCTGGCTCAGGATGCTTCCCCCCTCCTCCTTTAACTAAGGAAGCATCAGAATTGGAGCAGGGGTGTGGCCTCGCTTCAATTCCAACAAGGCCACCGTACAGGGTGTGTGACTCCAGCCCAGGGCTCTCGGGGCGCCTGACATTTAGGTTTTTCTTCCAGAGGTTGAGAAGGAATAAGCTGGGACCTCCCGAGGGGCTGCTCTTTCTCCTAAGCTGCCCCGTCCCCCGCAGGTCACTCGTACCTCCTGGACCACCTAAAGGAGCAGCTCAGTAGCCACCCCCTCCCACCTCAGCGCCTCCCCCCCGCGAGGGGTAACTCATGCCCAACGGAGAGGTCACTCTCCACGACGGCTCTGTCTCCCCTAAGGCGGTCACTCGTTCCCCCCGGCCCTCCACAGGGTCATTCGTTCCCAGAGAGGAGATCACCCCCTCCGGGTAGAGCCAATGCCACTTTGCGGGGGTCGCTCGTTCTTCCCGGCCCTACTGCCGAGGTCACTCGTCCTCAAGGGAGGACTCACCCCCTCCCCACGGGTCCCACTCCCCCCGAGCGAGGCGCTCGTACCCGAGAAGGACGTCGCCTACGCCCGGCCCCCGCCCCGAGGCGCAGCGCCGCCTCCTTCCGGGTCCTCCCACGCGAGTAGCGGCGCCGCGGGCCGCCTGGGCGGGGCTCCCGGGCGCGGACCCGGCGGCGGGTCGGGTGGCCGGGCGCAGAGCGTGGAGCCGGGCGGCGCGGCGGCAGCCGGCCATGGCGGGCTGCTGCGCGGTGCTGGCCGCCTTCCTGTTCGAGTACGACACGCCGCGCATCGTGCTCATCCGCAGCCGTAAAGTGGGGCTCATGAACCGGGCCGTGCAGCTGCTCATCCTGGCCTACGTCATCGGGTGAGCGCGGCCGCGGGCGCTGTCCCCGAGGGGCTCGGGGGTCCGGAGTGTTGCGACGGCCGGGAACTCCGCTTCTGGGTCCTGGCCGTGCACCTGCTGCTCTTGGCCTGGGTCACCGGGCGAGCCCCGCAGGCGGCCTCCAGGCGCGGTCCGGGGGACGGCGACCAGAGGCGGATGACATACGCCTCCCCGGACCCTGGCCCCCAGAGGGCCGGGCGGTGGGCCGGGCTCCGGGGCAGGAGACTGCTTTGATACTGTGGTTTTTTTTCAGGGCAAAGCCTGGCTAGACCTTCATCCTCACCCTTCCTGCTTCTTGTTCCGAGTTGCTCCATGCTGTCCTTTGGCTTTGCCCTTAACGTTTCAATCTTTGCACTTCACTTCCCATTCTGATGATCTGCTGAGAGAAACCAAGGCTTGGACTTTCCCTGTGGTTCCTTTTGGGCCAGTGGCTTCCGGTCCTTTCCTTTAAGTATCATGGGGTAACCCAAGATGATGAAGAGGTCACACTCGAGAAAGCATTTAAAGTTCACTTCGTTTTGTGGAGTTGTTGGGGGGGTTTTGTATAGGTACCTTCCTTCGCTTCATCATTCCCCATGCTGCCCTCTTACACTTCTATATGTCCTGCTACCTTCTGTCCCCTCACCAAGTGCTTAATTTTAATTGAGTGCACCCATTACAATTTGTTTTTTTTAAGATTTTATTTATTTGACAGAGAGGGAACACAAGCAGGGGGAGTGGGAGAGGGAGAAGCAGGCTTCCCGCTGCGCAGGGAGCCCGATGTGGGGCTCGATCCCAGAATTCTGGGATCATGACCTGAGCCGAAGGCAGACGCCCAACAACTAAGCCACCCAGGCGCCCCGCACCCATTACAATTAATGAAACTCGAGAGAAGGTAGAAATTAACTGGGCCCACTTTCAAGGTCCACCTAGGGTGTTAATGGTGTCTACAGCTGCTGAGCTGACAGATGTTATCCGTTCTGGCATTCCTTTTCTTAGAAGGCCTAATGCTGTGGTCCCCAGCCGCACATTAGAACCTTGGGGAATCTTAAAAATACTGATTGCTGACTCCCATCCCCAGACCTTCTGATTTAATTGCTATGGAGTATGACTGACTCCCCAAGTGATTCTGATGGGGAGCAGTTTGAGAACCAATGTCCTAATGTTTCCTAAACCTACCAAATCACGGAAGACTCACCTGAGGAACCGTAGAAAAGTAACAGATCCCCCACCCTGGGGTGAGGCTTGGAATGTTAACATGGTCCACGGGAATTCACCTGATCAGGCAGGTATTGGCTTCTAACAGCTATCAGCCCAGCAGCAGTAAGTTCTGACAGGATTCAGTGAAATGGCTTCCCACATACGGGCTGTACATCAGAACCACCTGGCCCACTCCCAGGTTTGGATTTAGTCTCATTAAGTACCGCCACCAACTCCTTGCCCCCCAGTGATTGTGATGCACCCTTAAATTTTGAGACCTGCTACTAACTGGCTAACTAAACTCACATTGCTGGATTGGATCGGAAGCGTTTAGAATGAAGGGCTCTCAGCTTTTCCCTCTTGGCTTTTGATACTAGGGGGAGGATTAGTTTAACCCTATCTTAGGGTATCTGTAAAGTTCTAGACTACAGGAGGTATGCACCGGATGATGTAGTACCCACTAGTCACCTGTGGCTTTTGAGCACTTGAAATGGACCTACTCCAAATCAAGATGCTCTGTCAACATAACATACACACGAGGTTTCGAAAACATAGTGCAAAACAACCAAAAAAGTAAAATAGTACATTAATACACCTTAGATTGATAACATGTTAAAATATTTTGGATATATTCGGTAACATAAAATCTATCATTAAAATTAATTTTACCTATTTTTCTTTTTAACATGGCTACTAGAAAGTACATTACATATGTGGCTTGTGTTACCTTTCTGCTGGACAGCACAGCTTTCTAAGGTTCCTGGAATGTTTGCTACCTTGATCATGAGGATCTATAAAGCAGTAAAAGCTTTATCCATCTTCCTATGATCAAAACTGACTCAGGATCTGAACTAAGGGCTTTTTTCTTTCTTTCTTTTTAACTCATCTCTTAGCTTCCTGATCCAATTCATCTTAGACTAAACATGCATTTCTCAATTATCTAATTCTGTTATCTGTCATATGATGAGGAGGTAGTCAATTACATAGTGATCCCTGTAAAACCATGTGTCTCTCTTCAGCAACTCACTGAACACTATGGTAAAATAATGGTAACCTTCCTGCCCTAAGTTTCTGTGTGCCTGAATAGAATTAAATGAAAGCTTTATATTGCAGCTAAATTCCTAGAACCCCTGAAGAAAAGGCCTTATTTGGGGAAAAGCCTGTCTCTAGGATGGACAATGAATATGGAGACTGCTCAGACCAGACTAACGTATAAGTAACCAAAACCAGTGATTTTTCGAAGTTTCAGCAGCTAGGGCTTATAAGAGGAGACAGATGCTAGCATTTCTTGTTTCTAGAAATAATAACAACAATAATAGTCGCCGGTAGGTGTTTAATAACAGCTCTGGCAGGAAGGAGTTCTGATTTGTAGCATTGGCCAATTTCCATGGTGGAAATACTCCCATCAAGGCCAATTTCAGCCTACAATGGCAACACAAACATTGTTCTAAACATCTACTAGGCAAAACTCATTTAACCTCACAACTGTCCTGTGAAATCCTATTATCATTCCCATCTTATTGATGGGAAAAACTGAGGCATAGAGAAGTTAAGCAACTTGGCCAAAGTTATGCCTGATGAACGGTGCAGCTGAGAAATGAACCATGATCGCTGGCTTCAGTTTGTGTTCCAGTGTCCTAACCACTACGCGCTAATGTCTTTAGATTTTTAGTTATTCAGACTGGTTGTAAGGCCCCCAGTTCTTCCCAGAGAAGAGAAGCATACATGTGACCTGAATTCTTGGAGAAAAAATGTAAGAAACTAGTATAAAAAGTTACTTGAACAGTGAGATTCTCTTTTCTAGAAGGAATATAGCATACAGGGCAAGAAAAGAGGCTTCAGAAGCAAAAGACTTGAGTTCAAATCCTGACTTTGTCATTCGCTAGCTGTGTGGACCTTGGGCAAGTGACGTAACCTCTCTGTGTCTCAGTTTCCTCCTCTGTAAAACTAGAGAATAATAATGATATCTGCCTTATAAAGTCGTCAGGATTAAATTAGTTAATACATATATAGAGCTTAGATCAGTACCTGGCACCTGAAAACACTCAAATGGTAACTATTATCATAATTTTTGTCATCTCTTGGTAATTCCGCAGGTCGTAGTGCTTTGGAAGTGCTCAAATACCTAATAAAGACAGCATTCATTGAGTACTTTCTTTGTGCTGATCACTATGCTAAGTGCTTTACCTGCGTCATCTCATTTATCTCCCACAAACCACCCTGTGGTTTAGGTTATACACCCATTTTGCAGAAGTGGTAATGGAGCCCCCCAAAGTCAAGCAGTTTTGCAAAGTCATGTAATTAGTGAACATTATACTGTCAGCCTTTGGCTATCAGAGGCTCCCTAGCAGCAGTTCAAATTCACAGAATCCTTATGGCAATTTAAAGGGCCTGTTTTATTTTGTAGGTGGGTGTTTGTGTGGGAAAAAGGCTACCAAGAAACAGATTCTGTGGTCAGCTCAGTTACTACCAAAGCCAAAGGCGTGACTGTAACCAACACTTCTACACTTGGATTCCGGGTCTGGGATGTGGCGGATTATGTGATTCCAGCCCAGGTATGCCTCCCACCGTGGCTTCTGTCTGACACCAAAGCTTCTGATTAGCTCCTTTCCCTTTACTGACTTTGCATTCTTTTTTTTTTTTTTTTAAGATTTTTTATTTACTTATTTGACAGAGAGAGAGACACAGTGAGAGACGGAACACAAGCAGGGGGAGTAGGAGAGGGAGAAGCAGGCCCCCTGCCGAGCAGGGAGCCCAATGTGGGAATTGATCCCAGGACCCTGGGATCATGACCTGAGCCGAAGGCAGACTCCCAATGACTGAGCCACCCAGGCGCCCCCTGACTTTGCACTCTTGGTTAATGATTGGCAGAGTTCTAACATCACAGAGGCCCAGACTAATTGTCTTAGTCCAAGAAAGCAGTGCAGAAGGATCTCTTTCTGCCTTAAGGTCTAATAAACAATATTCAACCAGCTATGTTTCTTCAGCTTTAAATCATGGCTGGCTTAAACACAGACAACTCAGTCTGTCTCAAGCCCCGAAAGGTAGAAAAGCAAATATTTTAAATCCTGGGAAAAATTCGGGTGGAAATATTGCCTTCCCACATTTTGTATGTGCTTTATTGTTGTAAACCCACAAGGTAAATCTTTTCAGTGTAGAAAGTTGATCGGTAATTGGAGACCAAAGCCAGACTGGAAGGAAACAGACATAGGATTTCATCAGGAACAGAGGAGAAGGGAAGAAGGTGTTTGATACAGCATCCTAGTATCCAGTCTGTTAATCCACAAAGCTCCAAGTTAAATACTGACTCTCTTTAGCCATCATAATGTCTATGCTCCGCAGCCAGACCCTAACATATCCCTCCAAATGGCTTCCGTGCTAGGACGTCTGGGGTGGCTAAATCTCTCGTCTCAGAGCTTGGCAAGGGAAAGCAAGAACTTCAGAAACTCTCTTTTTCTTCAAGTGTGTTTGTTTTCTCCCTGCCTTCTCAAGAGAAGGGTTTTGCGGGGTGCCCAGAGGGAAGACTGAGCGGATAAGCAATGCAGGCCAAATGGAACAGGGGATTCGTAGTTTGCTGGAGGTGGGTGGTCCTATGGGCATGCACCTGTGTCAACAGAGCGACCACTCCTTTCTGTGAAGCCATGGCCTCGTCCTGGCAAGCTCTGGGGCCGCCACACTCAGTGTGTTCACTGGGACCAAGGAAGAGTGTGGGCCCACTGCTTCTGACCCTCGGTGGGAAGGAAGAGGCAGCAGCTCTGCCTTCCAGCTTAGCTCTGGCCCCGGGGCTTCGTGAGCTCCACAGAGCTCCCTTCATGAGCTTTCACAATGGCCTCCTGCTTCTCCACAGATGGAACACAAACGTCAGTTTGCACCACTTCTACTCGGCTCATCTCTGGACTGAAGTTTCCCTAAGCTTAAAATAGAGAAGAAATAGGAAACAAACAGTAAACCCTATTGAATTGTTCACATCTATCTCAGGAGCCGCTGGAGCAGCTTCTATAGACCACGTGAACAGCATGTCTCTGTGGGAACACCGAGGACGCTGACAGGGGTGCCAGGGGAGAGGCGCGGGCATCGTGCCACCACCTCAGGCCTCCTCTTGGGGTCATTCCCTGTCTCCCAACATGGCTTGTTCTAGGCCTTTCTTTGGAAGATGCCAGCCATTCCCAGAGCTTCCACCACCTCGTCAGACCTGGGGGTGGAGATGTCTACAGACACTTTGATCCTTGAGTTACCCTGATCCCCCACGTGGCTCCCAGTGCTGACTCCACTTTTCCTGGGAGTCTGAAATGCCGAGAGAAAGCTTCCGGTATTTCATTTTAGAATGCCAGTGCTCAGTGAGGGGGAGGTCCAACTAGAATTCTTGCGCATCTTTGTCTTTTACTCCTAATGTTGGAAGGTCCTTAGCAACCGACTCTTTAGTCTCATCCCCAGTGAACTGCACTCCAGAAACTTTAAATCAACCATTTGGCACCTTCCTAGGAGGAGAAAACAGAACCTTCTCGAAGGGAGGAGCGTCAGTTACGGACCCTGACTGGGTCTTCTCTAGAATGTTTTATTTATTTAATTTCAGTTAGGAAAGAAAACCAGCCAAACTTGGGACTTTGGTGGCCTTGTGTTTTTGTACCTCTGAGGTAGCCTGGTTGGCAGATGATGTTTTGCGCACCTGTTGGATCTTTTCCCTCAACAAGCCAAGCTTTAATTAAGGAACCACCTCAGGTGATAGGCATTTCCTTTTCCACTGAGGTGAAATTCATATGTCATAATATTAACTATTTCAGATTTAAAAATTCTGTGGCATTTAGTACATTCACAATATTATGCAACTATCACCTCCTTCTAGTTCCAGAACATTTCGCTACCCTAAGAGGAAACCCCACACCCATTAAGCAATCGCTCCTCATCCCACCCTCTGCATATACTATATGCAGTTTTAGGCATCCCCTGGAGATAAGGGGGACTATGGTACAGTATTTATTTGAATCCTGTCTTCAGTTAGATTATAAACTCTCAGAGAACAAGAGATCAAAAGATCATTTTTTAAATTGTTTTTTGCATGGCATGTGGGCAAAGTGAAAGGTACTGTCCTATTAAATGAGTGACTGGCGTTCTTCGTGGCTCGGCTTGATTCCTTTGAAGGTAACAGAGTGATGCTGTCTCCCTTCTGCAGGAGGAAAACTCCCTCTTCATCATGACCAACATGATCATCACCGTGAACCAGACCCAGGGCTTCTGTCCTGAGGTAGGCAGCTTCTCTGGGAAGAGCCTCGGGCCTCAGGCCCCTCTCGTCGGCACCTGACTGACCACATGGCATTTCCCTCTTTCTTCATTTTCCAGCTTCCAGATAAGACCACTGTGTGTAAATCAGATGCCAACTGTGTTGCTGGCTCTTCAGGCACCCACAGCAATGGTATGAGCATGTGGCTGTGACCCCACAGTAGACACTTAGCCTGGGGAGGGCAGCCCCTGACTAGATTGCCTCCTCTGTGGGGCCTGTCTCATAGAGAAATCTTCAGGATGGAGAAATCCCGCACATTCCCCAATTCCTCCACATGACCCTGAGTGAGCTTGCTGTTTAGGTTAGGGTCCCAGGATCTTCTCAACATTCACCTGTCACCCGTGCCCCAGAAGCCATCCCAGATCTTGCCCTGTGCTGGAGCTTGGCATCGTCCTAGCGCTGCCTTTGGACTCAGGCAACTCTTTTCCTCTCGTTTCTGGAAACTGTATAAATCCCAGAATTGGAATAGATCACGATTGATTGCACAGGATGCTGTGGCGGTGCTCCCACTCTCTACCTTGCAAAGTAGAAAATAGGAGACCCCTGCAGACCTGGGTTCCCTTGCCCCTGCAGGAATTGCAACAGGAAGATGTGTGCTGTTCAATGGGACTGTGAAGACATGCGAGGTGGCAGCCTGGTGCCCAGTGGAGGATGATAGCCACGTGCCCAAGTGAGTCCTGCCCGAGGGAAGGCGGCAGGGGAGTTAAGGCTTGTGTGTTGTGCTCTTGGTGTCTGTGTGGAGTCAGGCTTCCGCAGGGCGGGGACCACAGGCAACCATCAGAGGCAAGGTGGGCCACAGTGTTTGTCACTTGTCATGGGACTGCAGCTGATTTATTTCCATGTCTGGACTCTTGTCAGTTGCGAGTAACTCCAGGAAACAGTTCTCAGTGCCTTACCCAGGACACACACATAGCAGGGGCAGTTTATTGTTCAACAAACTACGAAGAGCCCAGCACGACTAGACCTGGGGCTCAAAGGACAGCTTCAGAGTCTCTACATTTTGACTCTGCTTCCCCCCATACTGGCTTCGTTTGCAGGACCCATGGTGTAGTCCCAGGAGGTGGCTCCGGGCTTACATTCCCCCAAGTCTTCCAGCCCAGTTGTCCATAGAGGTTCTAGATCTGTCCATCATCACATCTTCAGCCACATCCCTCAGCCCACACTGTAGCTGGGGCATGGATTTTGCTTATCAGCTCAGGCCTGGGTCACCTGCCGATCTCGGAGCTATGGTGGAGTCAGTCCCGCCCGAGGAACACAGCCTGAGAGTAGGGAGGTGTGGCTTCCAAAGGAAACTGGGGGTTCTGTTACCAGAAAAGAAGGGAACAGAGGCTGGGCCGGAAAATAAATAATGTCCACTGAAGTGTGTTGTATAAAGTAGAACAGGTCCAGGGTTGCCCCAGAATAACATTTTTCCCAATAGTAATTTGCTCTGCTTGGACTGGGTAGGGTTAGAGGTAATGCTCCCAGAATGGCTTGCAACTCCAGCATTCCTGACCCAGAGTTCAGACTGAGGCCTGGATGAGGCCAGAGGCGCAGGGAGTCCCATGAACCCCATCCCAGGTATGCTGCAACAGAAGAACCTCTGATTTCAAGATTGCTGAGGGCAGGATGTGAGGGCGATCTGGCTGCGACATCTGTCACCCCATTGATCGCCAGGGTTGATTCGGCTGATCTGGTTGGCTAGGCGGGTGTCCCCTTCCTCCCTCACCGCTCCATGTGCGTCCCTCCCGAAGCTGCGCGCTCGGTCGAAGAGGACGACCTTCCCCGATAGAGGAGGACCGTTCTTCGGTCAAGGGTATACGAGTAGCTGCGCTCCCCTGCTAGAACCTCCAAACAAGCTCTCTCAAGATTGCTGAGGGCAGCAGCTCAGGCCAGGGAAGGAAACAGTAAAAGAAAAGGAATCTAACATTTCTGAGGTGGAAAGGGTCTTACAGAGCCGTGCTCCCTCCCTAACATCAGTGCCACTGGCCGTGGGTGTTTACCGAGCGCTCGCAATGTGTCTGGAGCCAAATAAACTGCTCTGTGTAAAATGCACTCCAGAGTCCAAAGACATTATGGGGGGAAAAATATATATATACATATATGTGTGTGTGTGTGTATGTATGTATAAAATTAATATGTGTTTACCTGGTGAAGTAATACTTTAGATATATTGGGTTATTATACAAAAGTTAATTTCACTTGTTTCTTTTTGCTTTTTTTTTTTTAAGATTTTATTTATCTGAGTGAGAGAGAGAGCACACACATGTGTGCAGCATGGAGCGGGGGGGGGGGCAGAGTGAGAGGGAGAAGCAGGCCCCCCGCTGAGCAGGGAGCCCAACTCAGGGCTGGATCCCAGGACCCTGGGATCATGACCTGAGCCGAAGGCAGACGCCTAATGAATGAGCCACCCAGGCGCCCCTTCTTTTTACTTTTTAATGTGAGGAATTGGAATTACGAGGTGGTTTGTATTTGTGTCTCATTATATTTTCATTGGACAGCAAGGTTATAGATTTAATCTTGTGGAAGGTGATTTTTTTTAAAGATTTATTTATTTACTTTAGAGAGAGAGAGCACAGGGGGAAGGAGCAGAGGGAGAGGGAGAGAGAGTCCCAAGCGGACTCTGCGCTAAGCGCGGAGCCAGACACGGGGCTCAATCTCACAACCCTGAGATCATGACCTGAGCTGAAATCATGAGTCGGATGCTCAACCGACTGCACCACCCAGGTGCCCCCAGTGGAAGGTGATTTTTAAGTGTACAGTGATACATAAAATAACATGAGTCACATGGATAGACATTCCCATGTCCGTTCAAATTCAGCTTCTGTACTTATATCAAGGAGGAAATCCTGGTTTGGGGTGTCTGTTGTCATTTGCTAATTTCCATTTCTCACAAAGAATAATCCCCAGATTCAGCACCTTGGGCAAACAGTAATATTAACTACAACATTTAGTAATATTGTTTTGATTTGATTATATTTATTTGAACAGTGACCTCTGACTTGGGGCCAGTGATACCTCTTATGGTCATGATGGAAAATTTCATTTCAAAATGAATGCCAATTCAAAAAGTGAGTTGATCGTAAAAGCGGAAACAACCCAAATGTCCAACAACAGAGAAAGAGATAAACAGGTTATAGTCCATCCATGCAAGGGAATATGACTCAGGCATAAAAAAAGAATGAAGTGTTACATGCTACAACATGGATGAACCTGGAAGACGGGGTGCTAAGTGAAAGAAACCAGACACAAAAGGACACATACTGTATGATTCCATTCATCTGAAAGATCCAGAGTAGACAAATCTAGAGAAACAAAAAGTAGATGAGTAGTTCCCAAAGGCTGGGCGGAAGGGAAAATAGATAGCTACTGTTAAATGGGTACAAAGTTTCCTTTGGGGGTGATGGAAATGTTCTAGAACCAGATGTTGGAGATGGTTTGCACATCCTGAATGTGTTTAATGCCGCTGAATTAAACACTTTAAAATGGTTAATTTTACATTATGTGAATTTCACCTTAATTTTTTAAAACCGGTGAGTCAATCTTAAAAGTATTGCATATAAGGGGCTCCTGTCTGGCTCAGTGGATAGAGCGTGTGACTCTTGATCTCGGGATTTTGAGTTTGAGCCCCCACACTGGGTGTAGAGATTACTTAAAAATAAAATCTTTTTTTTTTTTTTTTTAAGTATTGCATATGGGGCGCCTGGGTGGCTCAGTCGTTAAGCGTCTGCCTTCGGCTCAGGTCATGATCCCAGTGTCCTGGGATCGAGTCCCACATCGGGCTCCCTGCTCGGCAGGAAGCCTGCTTCTCGCTCTCCCACTCCCCCTGCTTGTGTTCCTGCTCTCGCTGTCTCTCTGTCAAATAAATAAAAATCTTGAAAAAAAAAAAAAGTATTGCATATGAGGTAGACAGATGTGGGGGGAAAGTTACAGTATAGGGAACGACAGGGGCGCCTGGGTGGCTCAGTTGGTTAAGCATCTGCCTTCAGCTCAGGTCATGGTCCCAGGGTCCTGGGATCGAGTCCCACATGGGGCTCCCTGCTCAGTGGGGAGTCTGCTTCTCCCTCTCCCTCTGCTGCTCCCCTTGCTTGTGCACTCTCTCTCTCTGACAAATAAATAAAATCTTAAAAAAAGTATAGGGAATGACAGTAGTTCGAAAAATCCTGATATAATGCATCCCTCTGGATACAGGGATGAGGGGATTTAAAGCCCCGGAAAAGCACCTTGGTCAAGGCCTTTCTCGTCATCAGCAGCAACAGGCTCGGCTCTCTTTGCTCTGTGGCCTTGCTTCTGTCTCAGGGTTGAGAAGACTGTTGAAACTGTTTCTAAACTCAAAGATTCCACCTCGATCAGGGGAGCCCCCCCCCCCCGCCCACACACAGAGGAGTCTGCCTACAGCTCTGGATTCTCCATAGAAACCCACCAAAGGAGTGGGGCCCCCTCGGAGCCCCAGATTCAGGTTGTACTGTCAGCACGGAGCTGACGTGGCACCTCAGAGTCAAGGCCCTGCGCCAACAGACATGTGATTTTTATGTACTTTTGAGATGAGGTCAGGATCCACCCTGTGGGTGAATTTACCTTTGCTTTGACTTGTAAAACCAGATCTGTGGAGCATTCCCCTGAGAGCGCCTGAGGGAGGCGAGCTCTGGAACCCCACAGCTGCAGGCTGAATAATTTCCCCGGGAAGCCACTAGGCCTCACCCCTCCTTCACTATTCCTCCAGCTCTTAAATTCCCGCTGCCTTCAGCAAGAGGCACGAGAGGAAGAAATGGAAAGGCTTGGTTTAGTCTCCCCTTGCTGACCTAGTGTTTATACAGAGGAGAGTAGGAAATGCTTGAGATGTTTCACTTTTTTTTTTTTTTTTTAAGATTTTATTTACTTGACAGAGAGATAGAGAGACAGCACAAGTAGGCAGAGTGGCAGGCAGAGGGAGAGGGAGAAGCAGGCTCCCCACTGAGCAGGGAGCCGGACGTGGGACTCAATCCCAGGACCCCAGGATCATGACCTGAGCCGAAGGCAGCCGCTTAGCCGACTGAGCCACCCAGGCGCCCTCACTTTTTTTCTTGACAAAATGACGTTGTAAGGCGCATGTGCACGTGCTTTGTTAAAATATTGCCTAAGGATGTGAGTATACGTATATGTGTACTTTTATTAACGATACGTTACGATTTTTTTCAGACCTGCTTTTTTAAAGGCTGCGGAAAACTTCACTCTTTTGGTTAAGAACAACATCTGGTACCCCAAATTTAATTTCAGCAAGTAAGTGCTGGCCGGCTGAGTGAGTTCCCCGGTGTTTTAGAGCAACTTCTGGCTCTTCTTTGAGGTTTTCCTCGCTTCATTTCTGCTTCCTTTTGATTTCAGGAGGAATATTCTTCCCAACATCACCACTACCTACCTCAAATCATGCACTTATGATGCTGTAACAGATCCCTTCTGCCCCATATTCCGTCTTGGCAAAATAGTGGAGAGCGCAGGGCACAGCTTCCAGGACATGGCCATCGAGGTAGGCACGGGCCCCTGGCTTCTCTGACAGTTTTCAACACACCTCATTCTAGAATGCGCCGCGAGGAAAGCTGGCTCTGTCTCTGCTCACAACCCACAGGGAGGCATCATGGGCATCCAGATCAACTGGGACTGCAACCTGGACAGAACCTCCTCCCTCTGCTTGCCCAGCTACTCCTTCCGCCGCCTGGATACCCGGGATGTGGACCACAATGTGTCCCCCGGCTACAATTTCAGGTAGGTGTGAGCTTGGGCCCTGGTTCTCTTGTGTGGGGGCCGGGGGCGATAGTGGCTGGATCACTCCCCAGTGGGGGCATCCATGCCCATCAAAGACCAGCACTCACTCAGCCCCCCAAGGGCAGTGGGAAGGCTAGGTGCCAGAGAGAGTGTTCAAGCAGAGCCTTGTCCCTGTACTGATTTTGAGGAGCAGGTGAGCTTGTGATCCTCTGGACCAAAGACTGCTGGGGCCTGACCCAGGAATTAGTTTCTCAGTGTCCTGGGGCTACCTTAACTAATTAACAAAGTGGGTGGCTTGAAACAACAGGAAGTTACTCTCTCACAGATCTGGATGCTAGAGGCCCCAAATCAGGGTGTCAGCAAGGCCAGCCACCTTCTTTGCCTCTTCCAGGTTCTGGTGGCTCCCTGCGATGCTCGGTGTTCCTTGGCTCATAGACCCATCACTCCCGTCTCTGCCACCCTTGTCACATGGCCTTCTTCCCTCTGGGCACATCTCTGTGTGTCCCCTCCTTATAGGACACCAGTCATATGGAATCAGAGTCCACGCTAATTCAGTACGAGCTCAGCTTAACTCATTCCACCTGCAAAAACCCTGTTTCCCTACTTGCATTTCGCATTCACAGGTTCCAGATGGCTACAAATCTTGGGTGACAGTGTTCAACCCAGGAGAGCTGGTCATTTGACGGAAGGACCGAGGGGCCAGGGTCAGGTTTGCCACTTCCTTGAGGTAGCAAAGACCTTAGCCGTGTACATTTTCGTGGGCGCTCTGTGGCCTCTGTCACGGATTTTGCCACTCTTAAACAAAGCAGCCCTCCCAGGGGCCAGCCGAGTAGGTCTGAGGTGCGTTCGTGTTGCACTTGTCTCCCTCTAGTGGTGACGTGAACAATCAAAGACACATGGGATCATAGAACCATCCGGAACGGCAGTCGGCTATCATCTTGAACCATGTGGCTCACTGATACTAGGGCAGATATTTGCATTTTCTTTTTCCTAGGAAAGAAATCAGGTTTGTGTTGCTCTATCTCTGTTAGACAGTTCTAGAAACCATTGTGGAAAACCTCAAGCTTGGGTCAGAACCTCGGGACAGAGAGAAGCTCATGGAAGCCCTCACCAGAAGGACACCCCTCGCCCTGACCTCTGCTAGTATCAGGCCCCACCTGAATCCCAGGCCCGACCAGGACATGGATGCCGTGGGCCAGACCGATCGGGGGCCAAGAGTTCAGGCTTCTCGGAACCAATGTCCTATATAACACGGGCAGCAAATGGCATCATGGCTCAACAGTGCCCCCCACCACCACCATTCCCCCTTGTGGGTTTTTTTAATGGCTTGAGATATCTTTCACCTACCACATCGTGCATCCATTTAAAGTGTGGGATTGGATCGCGTTTAGTCTAGTCATGACGTTGTAGGACTATCACAATTTTAGAACATTTTCATCACCTCAGCGAGAAAGCCCATATCCTTCAGCCATCACCTCTGTCCTCCCTTCTACCTCAGTCCCCGCCAACCACCATCTACTTCCTGTCTCCCTGGACTTGCATAGAAAAGGAAGCACACACCGTGTGGCCTTCTGTGACTGGCTTCTCTCACTCAGTATCGTGTTTTTTTTGAGGTTCATCCATGTTGTAGCATTTGTCATTACTTTCTCTTTATGGCCAAATAGTATTCCCTTGTGTGGAATTTTATTTATTTTACTTTATTTATTTATTCATGTAGTCATCGATGGGTCAGTGGTTCTTTAAAAAGATGTCCAGTGCTGATTCTGTGAGTTTTGTGGAGTTTCGTGGCCAGCTCCATGCCCCTACCCACAAGGCAGGCCCGGGGTTTGCTGCTCACTGACCATATTCTGTTAGTGGCCAGGATCTCCTTGAGACGTGCAGGTGGCTCAGCTGTGATATGGAGGATATTCAGAGTGAGAGGTTCCAGCTCAGCCATAGGAGGTGACAGTGATGCTGGACGAGTTCTTCTGGTGCCCCGTGGGCCCTGGCACCCTCCTGCCAACAGCCCAGCCCTCATGCTGCATGACCCACAATGGCCAGGAGAGGCCTCGAGATGCTCAGGTGGATCCAGCCACCTGTCTGTCCCTGCCCTGTGCCTTCTGCCTCTCACCTGTCCTCCTCCCCTAGGTTTGCCAAGTACTACAGTCACCTGACTGGTGCTGAGCACCGCACGCTCATCAAGGCCTATGGCATCCGCTTCGACATCATAGTGTTTGGAAAGGTAGCCTGGCTACCCCCTCCTCTCGGGGATCTGGTTCAGACCCAGGCTTCTGGGTTGGCCAGAGACAAGGGGCCCTCTCCCCACCTCTTATCTGTTCATGCCCTCTATCATGACTTTTTCTTTTTCTCCTGTCATTTGGAGGCTGGGAAATTTGACATCATCCCCACCATGATCAACGTCGGCTCCGGTTTGGCGCTCTTAGGGGTGGTGAGTGACTTAGACTGCTCCTTCACCCCCGGGCCTGGGGCCCTCCTCAGCAGTAGTTAGCCCAGCGAGGTGAGACCCTCCACTGGCATCTTGGTTCTTCCCCTTGACCCTAAACTCGTTTCTAGAGTCGACCCTCTAGGCTTGTTGCCCTTGCCTCCAGCACCCCCTCACCTTTGCTTCTTCAAGACCGCAGCCCTTGGGGCCTCACCTTTTCCAGAGAGGGAGAGCCTTGCCTTTACTTTCCTTGAAAGGTTCTAGGCTTTGTGGGAAGGGGCAAGCGCAGGATAGCAGGGGCGAAAGCATCCCGGCTCCTCCTCTCTCACCCTGTGCCACATTCAGGCGACGGTGCTATGTGACGTCATAGTCTTCTACTGCATGAAGAAAAGATACTACTACCGGGAGAAGAAATACAAGTATGTGGAGGATTATGAGCAGGTAGGCCCCCTCCTGAACTCCAGAAGGCAGGAAGGTCCAAGCACCTTGCCTCCTGCACCTCTTTCTTGTCCCAGTGGTGAGCACCTGGAGTACTGGGCCGTCTGGGGGAGGCCCTAGCACAGTGGTGCTATTGGGCATGTGGTCAACCCAGGCAGCCGCACAGCGCTCCTTCTCTGCTCCACTTCTAGAACATCCCTCTTTAAAATCTAGCCTCGCGGGGTGCCTGGGTGGCTCAGTCGTTAAGCGTCTGCCTTCGGCTCAGGTCATGAACCCAGGGTCCTGGGATCGAGCCCCGCATCGGGCTCCCTGCTCGGCGGGGAGCCTGCTTTCCCTCTCCCTCTGCCTCTCCCCCTGCTTGTGCAAGTGCGCACTCTCTCATGCTCGCTCTCTCTCACGCGCGCGCATTCACTCTCTCTCAAATAAATAAAATCTTTAAAAAATAATAAAATAGGGCGCCTGGGTGGCTCAGTTGGTTGGGCGACTGCTTTCGGCTCAGGTCATGATCCTGGAGTCCCTGGATCGAGTCCTGCATCGGGCTCCCTGCTCGGCAGGGAGTCTGCTTCTCCCTCTGACCCTCCCCCCTCTCATGGGCTCTCTCTCTCTCTCTCAAATAAATAAATAAAATCTTGAAAAAACAAAACAAAATAAAATAAAAAATTATTTAAAAAAATAATAAAATGTAGCCTCATTTTAATTAGTGACATCTCAAGTTAGTTACAATAGTGAATATTATCACAAAACCCCACACTAAACTTGCCTTGCATAGCAAGAGGGGTTGGGTACCATGCTTTGAGACCCCCCCTGCATGAGGACTAACCTGAGTATGTTCCGTTGTGAAGGGCTGCCCAGAAGTCCTGGCTCTCACCCGCCCCAAATGGTCCAGACTTAGCTGTGGGCAGCACCTGGTGGGTGTACGTCTATCCATAAGCGTATCAATCAACGATAAACATATCATTCTTTGCAGGGTCTTGGCGGTGAGATGGACCAGTGATGCTTCCTCCACACTGGGCTCCCCCCGGCCCTCATCAGAGCACAGCCAAGAGGGAGAAGAGGCTGCCGTGTCACCTCAGAGAAGGTTCCAGATTCTGAATCCATCTCCACTGCACAAGAACTTCATGGTCGCCCAGCTGTTTTGTGTGTAGGATGTGAATAGTAAACCACCCTGACACTTGCGGGTGTTGGGGCGACTTCTGGCCCAAGGGCGGTGGTGCTCCTGCCACTGCAGACCTGGGGGCCTCACCCAGAACCAGCCTTCCCTGGGGGGCTCCCAGCTCCAGCTCCCTGTGAGACAGGCCCAACTGAGGCCCGGCACTCGGTTCAAGCACTTTATGAGGGAAGGAAGGACAGCCGGGTGTGGTCGCTGGACCTCTAGCACATGCTGTCACGGGACGGTGTGTGTCCTTTGAGAAGAGGCACGCTGAGGTGGTCATGGACCAAACATTAAAAAGATTTTCTCAATCTTTGTGTGGTTTCATAGCACGAACTAGAACTTTCCTCCCTTCCCTTTTACTTCAACCAGTAAAAGAAGTGCAAATTCCCAGGCCCCATTTAAACAAGATCCCCAGGTGACTCATGTGCCCACGGAAGTCTGAGAGGCACTGCTTTAGCAGGCAGGTAATTGCTAGATTTGTTGTCCCATTTGTTGTCCCATTTGTTGTCCCAGCTCACTGTGCTCAGAAAAAAACTTCTGAAGCAGTCTGCGGTTGGAGCTTAGGTGTTTTCCCCCTGCTTCGACCTTCTCCTGAAGGCCTGAGAGTTTTGATTTTTGTTAGGTTGTGTTCCTACAGAATTTACAAGATTTTGTCCTGTAGTGACTACTTGTCTTACCCGTGCATCTGGTGGTGTTTTGTTTTTTTTTTTACCCAAAATTGTGGTACTACACCATGGAGGACACAATTTTAGATAATAACATGGCTTATCCTTCTCCCCTCCCCTTTGCTTTCCAGAAGTCTCCAAGCCACAAGCAGCACCACCTACACCTACTTTGTTTGAAATGTTAATGAGGTTATTTCTAGCTGCGCCTTCACACCGACTTAATTCTGCAACAAGTCTTCAGGATCTCCTTAAAGAAAGCTGCTTGCCTGCCCCCCCCCCATCATGAATTCATTTCCAAGTACCAAAGGGAACGTTTATTTTAGAAGTGCCTGCTTCTGCTGGATAAAACCTGGGCTTTTGTTGCTTTGGGGGGCAGGAAACATTTACTGAACCCCTTTGAAAAAGCTCTGGTTCGTGCTGCCTTTTTGAAAAAAAAAAAAAAAAAGCCTGCCTGAACACATGGATCGAGTGGAGCTGGAATTTTTTAGGGACGGCTTTTCATCTTGCAGCCTAAGACGCGATAGTTACTGGAGTGGGGAGAGACTTCTTTTGGCCTCCCTTTATCTCAGAATGCTAAGGCCAGCTGGGGTGAAGGATGGGGGAGGCATTGCTTACTTTACTCACCAGGCCTTCAGCTATATTCCCACTTGCTGGCCCTCCGTGGCGCTGCTGCTTAAGTAGGGGTCCTTCACCTTTGCACCCATGGAGGGCCTTCCGGGAGTCTCTGGAACTCCTAAAACTGCAAAGCGATGCACCTGTGTTCATTTCTTTTGGCTTTCATTAGATTCTCAGTGGGGTCTTTGAATAGGTACACCTGCTCTTGACTCTTAAATGCCAGTATTCCAAAGTTATATTTCTGCAACAACAGAACAAGGAGTGTTCACACTTCATCTGCTGTCCCTTCATAACAGAAAGCCAAGGTTCAAAGCCAGTAAGGCAATGCCATGGGCTGGATTCACATTTGGAGGGCAGGGAACCCCCAGACCCTAGCCTGGAGGAAGCATCAGTTCTAAAACAGTCTCCAAACACCATGAAAACTATCCAAGCTCTGTAGAACCCTGCATTTGCTGACAAAGGTGGAGCCCTTGGACAACTAACTTTTCTGAGCCTCAGTTTACACGGGATGATCCATAAAATGGGATAAATACCCACCTTATGGGGTGATGTGTCCTACAACATGCCTCCTCACAGGATGTGTTCCACGTGTAATTAATACCGCTCCCAGAGCTGCTCACCTAGTTGGTCTCCAACAGAAGAATCTAGCAATTACCTGCCTGCTAAAGCAGTGCCTCTCAGACTTCCGTGGGCACATGAGTCACCTGGGGATCTTGTTTAAATGGGGCCTGGGAATTTGCACTTCCAACCCACTCCCAGGAGATGCTGACGCTCCCGGTCCAGGGACCACACTTTTAGTAGCGGGATACTAGGACATGGTTACACAGACATGAATAATGTAATGCTGAATACATTAGCCCTGACTTGGGCATTTGATCTCACAGTCAGCCTAAGGAAGAAAAACAGACGTAAGGACGGATGTCCTACAGACATCTGTAAACTGACCAACAAAAATACCTCCAAAAGGCCCAGGCTTTGCACCATTTTGCTGTCTGTTTATTTCAAGTTTACAGAGAAGCTTAAACATCTGTGGAAAAACACCAAAGGCTTATTTTTCTCTTAAATTCATGTACTTTTAAGTGATAAATACACAGTATTTAACTTTGTACACCTGATAAAAGGAAAATGCATAGTAGAAAGGATCAGGAATAAAACAGAAGCATCGGGCATTAAATCAGACACAGAATAAAAAAGTCAGCAGTCCCACGAAACTCGGCCCATAAAGCTGCAAAGGGGATGGGAACCGACGACCTTGAAACCTTCTCTAGCACCTTGGAAGCAAGTGGAGGTCATGGTTCTTCCCCCCAGCAATGCAAAGCTCCCCTTTGGAAGATGAGTGAGAGCAATAGGTTGAGCCCATGCATCTAAATGCTCAGGTATTCGCCTCTTCGTTCCAGAAAGGCTTTAAGGATGGGAGCCCTAACTCACGGGAAAGGCCAAATCCCTGGGGAGACGGCCTCTCCAGCCCCCAGAGCCAACAAGGGGCTAGCTAAGGCTTTCTGGGAGCCTCCGGTAAGCCTGTGGAAGAGACGAGGAAAGTGGAGCAGGGCAGAGGAAGATGGGGCAAGAACTTGCGCAGGCCCCAGGTTGCTTACACCAAATTGGTCCCACAGATGAGCCAGCAATGGAAGAAACTGATAGGGCATCCTTTTTGCTCACCCGGAGAAGCTGCCCATGATGGCTTCTCCCCTTTCCTGACAGAGCCAGCTTCCGAAAAACCAGTGTTTGTACTCCAAGAGAACGGTAACCCTACGCTTGACAGTAAGGCCCTCTGCTTATACTGTTTGAGGGGTGCAGTTCCTTCGCACAGCTTTCTTCGGTGTTTCTTTGGGGAAAAAAAGTTATGAACCCACCTGCCTAAACAGCCGGCATTCCGCGTATGAAATCTTACGTGGGGAGTTCTGTGGCGGAAGAAACGGTCTTGCCCGATGCAGCTGTGTAAACAGGAGTTCTGCAGAGAGCGTGCTACCTGCCCGCCCCGGGCGAGCCGCTCGGCCAGGCCACAGTCACACAGACAGGCCGGGACTAAGGACAGGTTCACCTGAACTACTGCAAGGTGCTTATTGCAAACTAACCAGACCCCATCTGCTCCCAGAAGGGGTGGTGCCTATAAGTACAAACAAGCGCAGGAACGCCAGAGGAAGTACCAGGTTACAAAAAGAAAGCAAGCAGGCCAGACAACCCTTCATCTGACGGTTGTCCTTTGCTCTTGGAAACCAGCATTCCTTAATTCTGTACTGCTTATAAGACAGCAAGAAAAGTCTGGCTAAATGACAGGCAAGAGCTTACGAAGGTCTGTGGAAGCCAACAACACCCAGGCTCTGTGGATGCGCTGGGTAGCGGGGGCACGAGGCCTTGCTCCCATCTCTCTGCAAAAAGTCCTCCTACCAGCGATGATCAGACAGAAACTACAGGAGAGCATGTCCTCTCAGCCCAGTTCGACACTATTTCCCCCAACCAGAGTCCACAAAACACTGGGAATCTCCCCGAGCAAAGGCCTTCCTGTTTTCCTCCCCCGTGAACTTCACCCTCCTCCATGTGTGGCTCTGAGAAAGAAGTCACACTTGAACTGCAGTGAGAATCCCCAGTACGAGCGGAAACCCAAAAAGATAAACCTTTTCTGTCTGGGACTGTTGGCTTACAAAGCAGAACTCCCTGTGCCAAGCCCTGGCTCTCTTGGACCCTGAGGACCACTCTGGGTTTCAACAATCCTCTCTAAAAGGGCGCCCCAAAGTTCTTGTGTAGATCCTAACAGAGCTTTACCGGTAAGGATGATCTTTGTGTTTCCGCTGAAGCCGAGTATTTCCTCACTGGCCCTCCAGAAACTAAGTGCTTCACTGACTGCAACAATCAGCTAGTATTTGAGAAAATAAAACCTCGGCAGTCTCTAGAACACACAGGTTACAAACAGACCAAGCTGCTAATATACAGGCACAGATTTCATTGGCTCTAACTCTGATCACATGCCTGAAGCCGTGGAAAGTATCCTGGAAGCTCTAAATGATCTCTGAACTACTCTAGAGTTCAGTCTAGTTAGAGAATCGAAAATATTTTATTTACTCGTAAGCCATGTAATGTACATGGAAGTGTAGGATTTCACCCTGAAGTTTTTGTCATTTAACAAGAGATTGACCAGAGCTCCCTTAATATTTCAGAAACTCGCTGTGAGTGGCTATCAGTCCTTTAGGTGAAACCTGCCCCCCCCACCCCCCGCCCCACAACAACCACGGAACGCCCTTCGAGGGGGGGAAAATCTCCTTTGCGAAGCAATTAAGCTTCAAGCCCTTTCCCTTTTCCTGACTACAACTCTACCCATAAAAAAATGTGAAGTCCTTCTTACAAATAAGGTGCATCGAAGCTCCCTGCAGCTTACTGAGGGCTAGCCCTGCCCAGACCCCGTGAGTCCACAGTCCTGGAAGGTGCCACGGGCCTGGAGTTTGGGGCCTTCGGGGTTTGCAGGAGGAGTGACACCCCCTCTTCCTCTCCCTTTCAAACGCAGCAACTAACTCTGTGGTCTCAGCCCACACCGCCAGAGTTTTCTGCCGGTTTTGCATGATTTACAAACCCCACACACATTCACCTGGTATATCTGACATGGTTCTGAGTTCACAATGAAGGATTTTTGGCATAAAAACGTTTTAAAAAGCAATTGTCCCAAAATGCATGTGGCTTTGGGTCTGCAACTCCTCACACCCGCCCGTTCAGCCAGCCAGCGGCCAAGGTCGATGTCATGGAGTCAAGTCTTTTTTTTTTTTGTCCCCTTGAAAACAACAAAGGAAGAAAAACAAAACAAAACAAAAACACCAGAGATGACGGTCAAGGCTCTACACACGTGCTGGGTTTCCGTAGGACATGCTGCTATGGAAACGCAGGGTGCAGCCTGCATGCGAGGTCACGCGTCCAGGCAGCTACTCCATCACCTCGTCGGGCCGCAGAGGATGCATGCGAGCGCGGGGGCCGGGGGCCGGGGCCCCCCAACTCTCGGCGCGGGGACCGCCTTTCACAAGAGCACTTCCTCCTCCCCCACGGGGGGCGGGTCGGGGCCCCGGAGGCTGTCTTCGCTGCCTTGCTTCCTGCTCACCGAACAGAAAACCCACGTTAAGGCAAGGCTGCCACGGCCTGAGCCGGCATCTCCCGCGTTCCCGCACCACCTGGAACGTCACTGACTTCGCTCTTCCCTTTAGTCTCTCCCCTTTTCTTGCCTATATGAAGTTTCAAAGGAGACTTTGTATTCCCCTCAGTAAATGGAAAAGCAGCATCATTTGCCAAAAATAGAAAGGAACTATAAAAATAGATGCGAACCTATCTGTGTAACACCTAAACTCATCCCATGTGAGTAGTGTGCAGCCAGCGATGGGGCCTGTTCACAGAGGTTTTTAGGTATCTTGACGCGTCCCCCGACCCCAAGCTTCCTTCTTCAGGCTAAGGTTGAAGATTCTTCAGTCACCTGAAGGTGAGCTTCCTGGGGGCAGCAAGCAGGACCACCTGGGTTTGGCCTGGCACAGAGCCGGCCTTTTGGAAATGGTGGTCAAGAGGACTGTCCCCAGCACACAGGCCCATGGGACACCTTGGATGGAGAGAAGGGCCCAACTCTTGGCGATGTGAGTGATCAGAGCAGGAGAGACCAAGGAGGTGGGAGGAAAGGTGTCCTCGTGTCCCTGAGAGGTCATATCCTGAAGTGCGCCCAACTAGACCTGCCTGAGGGTGGTGGGGGGTGGGGGGAACAGACACAGGTTGAACTAAGGAGCTAGGAAGGAAAATCCCTGAGGAGAAGCCCAAATCGCTTGCCACCAGCCAACAATAATGGCCCCTTCTAAGGGAAGCCACTGGGCTTGCCACACCAGACTAATGTCTGCGGTGTGTCCCTGGCCAGAAGCAAAACTCTGTCCCGGCACAAGGAAGAGAAAGCCAGATATCTGTGACCCTCTCTGTTTCAAGAGCAGGCTCATTGGTTTTTGTTTCTGCCAAAGCAGAGGGGGTCAAAACTCCCAGGGAGGAGAGCTCTAACTAGATGTCAAATCCAGGCCTCAATTTCTGCCCTGGAGGCGCCTGCCTGTACCAGCTGGGTGTGGCTGCAGAGGGGGGGGGGGGCGCGTGCGCCCGAGGCCTCCGACAACTGAATGAGCCCTCGGAACTCCAGACTGCTGGGTCATTCGGACAATCAGAGCATCCCACCAGCAGCCTGAGGGCAAGAGCAGGTAATCCCCAGGTTTTGCTGGGACTACTGGTGAGGGAATTAAAGGGGCAGTAAAGCCCTTTGGGCCAATCTCTGGGTATCTTGCGATTTTAAGCTCACTGAAAATAAGAAACAGATGACAGACTTGCACACAGACGGGGCAAACCCTAAAACTTGAGATTTGAGACGAAAAAGGGCAGCCCATTAGGCTTCCACTCACTGCCACCCTGGGAGGCTCAAAGAGCAGGCGGCAGAGAACTGGGGAACCACCTGGCAGGGATGAGGCAGCCTTCTCGGGCTGCCGACAACTGGCCGATGGCTAACTGCCGCTTTCCCTGATCCTAAACTGTTCGCTAGCTGACTACAGGCCCCTGACTCCTGCGCTGCGGGGGCCAGTAAACTTCATCTCGTGAGTCAGCTCCCAACGCACAGAAATGGCCGCTTGCTCGTATGTGGATGTTCGCAGCGGCAGGCATTCGTGACAGCCCAAGTGGAGACAATGTCCATCACCGAATGAATGAGGAATAAAATGTGGTCTACCCGTACAATGACATACGGTCTGGCCAGAAACAGGAAGAAGCGCTGACGCCTGCTACATCGTGGATGAACCTTGGAACATGATGCTGAGTGAGAGAAGCCAGACGCAAAAGCTCACACGTTGTACGGCTCCGTTGACAGGGGGTGTCTAGAACAGGGCAACTCCATAGACACCGAGAGGAGATTAGTGGCGGCTGGGAAAGGGGAGTTGGTGGTGACAGCAGAGGGTACAGGGTTTCTTCTGGGGCTAATAAAAATGTTCTAAAATTGACTGTGGTCTTAGTTGTACAAGTCTGTGAATATATTAAAAACCACTGAATCATACCCTCCAAATGGGTGAAACATACAATATGTGAATTATATTTCAACAAAGCTGCTCTTAAAACATAGAAATGGCTTTCCAACGATAAAATTTTAAATGTTAAAAAAAATTAAGAAAAAATACATAGAAATGACTGCCTGGAGCTCCCAGCTGAGGATGAGGTAGTGAGTTGAGCTCAAAGGAAGGAATCCCAGAACTTCTATCTTGCCATAGGCACTCGGGGGAGGAGAGGCAGCAGGGGTGCTAAGTGTTAATCATCTTAGTCCACAGGGACAAAAATTCCCATCTGTCCTGGGAGCTGCTGGCAATGCTGACAAGGCTATGTGTTGAGAAGAGGGATGGCCAAAGGGAAAAGGTTCAGATCCACCGTGGGGACAAAGGACTCTTACACTAATTTGCAGCAGGCTGGAAGGGAACTTATTTTCTAGGTCTTCACCCATCAGAGAAGAAGGGGTGGATGCCGGAGAGCCCCAGAACACTGCATGCCTGATCTATGCTCTGACCACATGGACCCAGGGCAGGGGCAGCCACGGGACCCTGTTGTGACACAGCTTCAATGCCATTGCCGTGCCCTGAGCATATGTGGGTACCAGACTGGGTCATGAGACCTGGGTGAATTCGCAGGCATTCCGGGTGGAGCGCCATGCACCCGCAGCCCCAGCCCACATGCACGACCCGCCGTCGGGTCCAAGCCCCTGGCTGGCCCTGGTTTTTATCCTAGGTCCAGAGGCCCGCGGCGAGCCTAGGCACAGCGGCCCGAAGTGGAAGGACCCTCCGCCCGGGTGGGGATGCCCCGTGCTCTGCAGCTGCCCCCGCCCCCAGGCTCCGGCAGAGGCTACAGCGCAGGCAGGCAGGCATTACCTTGGGCTCAGACAGGGGCTCACACTCCCTGGTTGGTTTTTTGCTGGAATGGCCAGAGGGGAGGGAAAAGGGAAGTAAGAAGGGACACTGGGGATCTCTGAGATGCCTGTCCCCCACCCCAGAGACACTCAGACCCCCAACACCAGCTTCACAGAGCTGCTGCCAGGGGGATTTTGAGCACGGCGCCTCTGCGGTTGACACACAGGGTCACGTGGGTGAGGCAGGCCTTGCTCCTCCATCACAGGGCCCACAATCCCACCATCAAGCATGCATGCTTCCGGGCCACAAAAATGCTTTCTGATTGTCAAGCGGTCCCCCAGGTAAAGTGCAAGGCTCCCTGAGAGAGGTAAAACTGCAGCATGGGTTAGCTGTCCGCAAGAGGAGGTGGGCTGAGCCCGGCGCGGGGGCGAAACTCTCCCTCATGAGCCTAGGAGACCCGGTCTGAGTCATTCCAGGCGCTTCCTTCGCTCCAGGGATGGGCCCAGGCAGGGTGCGCTGGGCAGGGCTGGCCTGTGTTCAGCCTCTAGCTCCCCACCCCAGAGGAGGGCGGGTGGACACTCACGTGAGCAGGTTTCCAGGCGCTGACAGGGAGCGCTCCTCCCGCCGGCTGCCCTCAAACGGGTTCCCGAAGGAGCGTTTCCGTATCATGGTCTTCACCAGGATCTGAAGGACGGAAGAGGAAGCTGAGCCTCCTGGGGGCGACGCCAGGCAACGTCCTCCCCTGCGCCACTCTGCAAGGGCCACCCCCCTCTTCCTCTCTCCCCCGCCCCCGGCCGCTTCCACGGCTCGTGGCTGGCGACAGGCCTTGGGGAGAGCCTGGGCAGCATCCCTCCCACCGAGGACACAAAAGCCAAAGCTTTTGTGACTAGTCCCGTGTCCGAAACCATTCATGTCTCCCTGACTGCCAAGAAGATAAGGTCCACACCCCTTGTCTGACATCCTCCTTTCTTAATCTTGGTCTACCTGAGCCCCAGGGGGGGGACCCCGTGCTCCACGAGAGCTGGCCAGCACTGTCCCTCCAGTAACTTGGCACCACTCATCTCACCCAAGCCATCGCTACCCCTGCCCTCTTGGCCCATCAACCTGTCTCATCTTCAAAACTGGGCCTTTATTTTCGGTGAAAACTATCTGGCCACCCCAACAAGGAAGCAATTATTCTTTTCTGGGCCAAATTCAGGGGCTGCACTTCTTTTTTAGTTGAAATGTAAGCCCCACAGTCGAACACTCACCATTTTAAAGTGTACAGTTCAGTGGTTTCTAGTATATTCACATCACCACTATCTAACTTCAGAACATTTCCATCACCCCAAAAAGAAACCCAGTACTCACACCCCATTGCCCCTCCCCCCAGGCCCTGGCAACCACTGATCTCTGTTCTGTTCTACGGATTCGTCTATTCTGGACATTTCATATAAACGGAATCACACGGTATGTAGCCTTCCGTGTCGCTTCCTGCACTGAGCACCAGGTTCTCAAGGCTCCTACGGTTGCAACAGGTATCAGTACTCCCTTCCTCTTCGTGGCCAAATAATATTCCTTTGTATGGATACACCTCCACTGGTGGACATGTGGGCTGTTTCCAACTTTTTGGCTGTTGTGAATAATGCTGCTATGAACATCTGTGCGCATGTTTTTGCGTGTGGACCTGTTTTCCCCACAAAATGTTCTCATTTCTCTTGGGTCTGTACCCCGGAGTGGAATCCTTGGATCACGTGGTGACGTTGACCATTCTGAGGAACCGCCAGACTGTTTGCTACAGTGGTTACACCACACGAGGGTCCCAATTTCTCAGAGGGCTGCATTTTAGCAGAGGATGGGCAACACCTGAATGGGTATAAGGAGCTGAGGAAACATCCCAGGACACTGAGGCTAGCCAGCCCACAGGCTGCTGTGGTGTGAGGGAGAGGGGACTGAGAGGTCCTAAAGGTCCATCCAAGTCTGAGAGGCGCTGGGGGCAGGCTGGTCCACTGCCAGTCGTGGGAACTTGCTCGTGGGCCCCCTCACCCACTCTAACACAGACGGGGTCCCCAGCTTGGTTGGCAGACACCTGCCTGACGAGTGGATCCCTTGGGAAAAGGTACTATTCCCTCATCCCATCCCACGGCCCCTGCTCAGCTACCCTCCTCTGCCTCCCAGGCTTCTGCCTCAACCCTACTGATCTGACCTATCCTCTCCAAAGCCCAGATCTGATTCCCTCACTCCCTGACTTAAAATCTTTCACCCATAGGACTTTGGAACTTATCCTGCTGCTGGCCAGAGGGCCAAGGACGATTCTGGAGCAAGGGAGTGAATGAGTTATTTTTGGTGATGCTTTTGGCTGCTGTATCCTCTGAGGGAATTTTCAAGGAAAAGACCTCAGTCTGAAAGGCACCGGCCCCCACCCCCTCAAGCAGAGCATGGTGCCTCTTCAAGCTGTTTTATGTGTAGAGTGAGCTTCTGAATTGTTTTGTGTGTGTGCTAAGAATCTAAGTATTTTTAAAAAACACGATGGCAGCGCCTGGGTGGCTCAGTCGGTTAAGTGTTACCTTTGACTCAGGTCATGATCTCGGGGTCCTGGGATCAAGCCCAGCGAAGAGTCAGCTTCTCCCTCTCCCTCTGCCCCTCCCCCCCTGCTTGTGCTCTCTCTCTCTCTCAAATAAATAAGATCTTTAAAAAAAACAGAAAAAACAAAAAACAAAACCACTGATGTTCCAAAAGGTGGAAACATCCAGCATCTAAAAAACGGATAAACAAAATGTGGCCTATCCATACACTGGCGTATTACTCAGCCATGAGGGAATGGCATGCTACAACATGGATGCACCTCAAAAACACCATGCTGAGTAAAAGTCAGACACAGAAGACCACATACTGTACGATTCCATTGATACGAAATGCCTAGGAGAGGCAAATCCAGAGACAGAAAACCCACCAGGGGTCGCCAGGGGCTGGGGGGAGGGAAGAGCAGAGTGACTGTTAACAGGTACAGGGTTTCTTGGGGGGGAGGGGATGAAAATGTTTCAGAACCACAGAGGTGACGGTTGCACAATATTATAAATGTAATAAATGCCACTGTATTGTTCACTTTAAAATGGTTAGTTTTATGATACACGAATTTTATGTCATTAAAAAAGAAAAGAAGAAAAGCACTGACTTAGATCCCCTGGGAAGGCTCTCACCGTCCCTCCCTGGCCAAGGCTGGTGTTCTGTGGTTCCTGGAACACACCAGCCCTTTCCTCCACTGTGTCTCTGCAGGTGTCCCTTCCTATCCACCCCCCCCCCCCATCCCTGCCCTGTCCCTCCCTGTGGCCTTGTCAACTTTCCTAGCCCTCAGGACCCAGCAAAAGAGGCTCCTCCTCTGTGAAGCCTCCATTCTTGTTCCTCTGTGCGGGCTTGTCACCGTGTAATGGACAGGAGGGTGATTTTTTCTGCTCCATCTTTCTTATGAGGCCAGGAGCCCCACGAGGGCTCGTGCTATACCCTGCTCATCTCTGAAACCCTGTGCCTGGCACACAATGGGTATGTGGACCTGGACCTCCCCACTCCAGCCCCTGCCCTCGGATGGCTGCAGTAGCCCCCACTTCCTCCCCAGCGCCCACATTCCATTTTCCACATGGGGTCTTTCCAAGGCCAACTCTGATGGTGCTACTCCCCTGATTCAAACCCTGCAGGTGCTGCCCACACTTCTTGGGACCAAGAATTAAATCTCTGCCGTGGCCTCAGGTCTTGGGTGGTCTGGCCCCTCCTCCTGCCCAGACTCATGTCACCTTCCTTGCCCTGCCTCAGTGGCCCTGGCTTTCTTGAAGCTTCTTGTGGGCCCAGCTTCCTCCCACCAGAGGATCACCACGTTTGCTCTTCCCTCTGCCAGAAACACCCTCTGCCCAATACCACCTTGGCCCAGTAAATACTCCGCCATCCACTCAGTATATATCCACTTCTTCCCGGAGGCCTTCTCCAACCCATCACCTTGGCCACATCCGCTCTTAGGGCTCCACGGCCCCCCTTAGGGGTACACCTTGCAGCCCCTCTGTTTTGTTGGTTGTTTGCCCAGCATCCACCTCTCCAAGATGGCAGGCCCACCATGTTGGTTTTACTCATCACTGTAACCCCTGCTCCCAGATCGCTAGGATCAGAGACCTTCTCCTAAGAACATCCTGAGCCTGGAACAGAATAACCTGCGGTGGGCACCTGGGTCTGACACCAGCTGCCCCCTGCACTGTGGCGCAGGACATGCGTGCAAGGGGTGGATGGGAAAGAGTGAGTGAGTGTGGGTGAGTTTTAACAGTGAAGGTCATGCAGAGGCCCTAGGTGAGGGAGGAGGAGGATGTCAATGGATGTCCCGGCGCAAGGGCTCAGATTTTGGAAGGAGAAAGTGTGTAGGGAAGCAGGAGGGAGAAGTGCAAAGCTGGGAGAGAAGGAGCCAGCATCTGGGCTCCTAAAGGGGCAGTCACTTGAGGCCAGACACTGTGTCTTTATGGAAAGTCTCACCAGTTCCTTCCAGAGCCCAGGGCCCTGCCTGCCTGCTGGAGCCAGTCCTCACCAAACACACCCCAGGGCTTTCACTGTGGCCTTAGTAGGGTGGCCAGCTGGATTCTGCCCCCGGGACTGCTGCCTGGACCCCAGGCCCTCGAGAATCCTAGTCTCCCTCCTGGAGCCAGATGCCCTCCTGGGCAGGGACTGGCAAGTGAGTGATTCCCAGAGTCTCCAAGGTTAAGCCTGAGGACTCCACATTCTGGGTCAGGACCCAAACATAAGGCCATAAAAGCACCGGAATTGGGAGACCCTGCCCCTAGCCCTGGGAGCTGCCCACACAGCAGATGTGAGACAAACTAAGCCACCCACTCTGGAGACCGAAGATCCAGCCAGGAGGGAATTCGATCTTAGAGACCTCGGCTCCAGCTCCCACCCCTGGCACCTGTCCTGGTCCTTCTCCTCCCCCTGCCATGCTCTGAAAGCAGGAATTCCAGAAAAAGCAGTAGGATCTTTAGAGAGGAGCTACCCCTCCCTACAGTCACACAGAATCTGGCTATAGACAGAACTAAAGCTACAAGATGCAGGGGCCTCCTGGCCTGATATGTGACCAGGGCCCAGAGCCTGGTGGCTGTGAGTCAGAGACAGACCCGGTCATCCCCTGACTCTCAGGCCCAATGTCTGCTTCTTAGCTGCCCGCCTGTGTCCCGGCCCGTCCTCGCCGGCCCGCCTCAGGCTGTCCCTGTTCTCGGTCAGTGGTTCGGCCCGCCTTACCACGGTTGCCAGGCTGGGAATGTGTTTGACCGAATTCTCGACCTCCTCTTCGGTCACCTCGACCAGCGTGCAGTTCTCGTCCTCCGATGGCAACGGCTCCGCCCCATGCCTCGTGACCCAGGGGTGCAGCTTCAATGAATGATAGGAGGGGTGAGGGGCAGGCGACTGGCTCCCAGAGGCCGGAGAGCGACACCGAGGCCCTGCCAGCGAGCGGAGCCAGGGAGGGAATGCGGGAGGGCAGAGGTGGTGGCCTGAGATCAGGCATGCAAGAGAGCTGGCAAGCCAGGCAGAGGGTGGGGGGTGAGCGAGATGCAAGGAAACGTGGAAAAGACGGAGGGACAGACAATGGGAGGGAGCCACCAGGCCGGGATGTGCACCGGACCGCATTTGCCACCTGGCCCAGGTCTTGGCAGAAGTGACCAGAATTTGGCATCTGCCTTGTATGGTTGCCCAAGAAGCACCCATCACCCCGCAGCAACTTTCCCTGATGCCCCCCGGAAGGCTCTGCTCAGAGAAAGCAGACCCTCCCCATTTCACAGAAGGGGAAGGGGAGGCAGAGTGAGACCAGTTAGAAGGACACAGTCAGGAGAGGACCCGGGCAGGGATCTGCCCCACCCCGCTTCCACCCCTGGGGTCCAAGTCCTTATCTGTAACCACTTGGCCTCCCTCTTCTCAAATGCTAGTTAGCTAGATGCCTAGGAGTTCCTGAAGCAAACCTCTAGATTTCTTAGAGTCAGATGTGTGCGTGTGGCACTGGTCAGGGTGTAGGGGGTGCACAGGGATCTCTCCTAACAGTGCTTTCTGCAAAAGCATGGAATTCAGCAGGCTGGGGAGAGGGTATCAACCTGCTCACTAATTTCCTCCCACCCCCACTGAGATTTCTCCAAGGGATGGGCAGGGGCAAGGAAAGGATCCAGGACTTGGGCAGCCGGGGTATGGAGCACACAGAGACCCCATTCTGGTCTGGTCCCGGCAGGGTGGATGCCACCAACCCAAGCCGATCGGCAACTGGCAGCAGATCCCACTGCCACAACCACAGTTAACACAAGTCCAAGTCCTCCTCTCCAACCCCCACCACCGCCAGCCCTCAGCAGCAAGAGGCCCAGGGCACGGGAGGGTAACGATGCCAAGGAGGACGCAGTGCTGTGGACGGAGGGGAGTGAGGCCTGGCCGAGGCAGGGTTGAGCCAAACAATCCCAAGCAGAGGACACAGGCCTGGCCCCTGGTGCACACCCCATAGAGAGCGGTGGCCCCCAGGTACCTTGATTTCCGGCACCACGATCCTTGATTCCGGGTTCTTGTCCAACATGCGGGTGATCAGGTCCTTCAAGTCCTCAGCTATGTCAGGCCTTGCGGGTGGAAGATACATCAAGGGTGAGAAACACACAGAGGACCACCAAGGGCTTGGAGAGGAAGGTGACTTGGGACAGACGGGCAATACTCACTGATCTGGAAATTCCAGGGCCTGACTCTTGATCTTGCTGTGCAAACACATGATCCGCTCGTCCATGAACGGGCACTGCGAAGAGACGGCGGGGACAGGGTGGCCGTCAGCGGCTGCCCCATCAGTCCTGCAAGGGCTACCCGGGGCTGGCATCACTCCACGTGGGTTACAACGGAAGAACAGACGCCCGGGAGCCCACTGCAGCGAGGGAGCAGCTCCCATGCCCACAAGTCCAGGAGCACCCGGAATATCCTTCTACAGGGCTAGAGCCCCTCCCAACCACACTGTGGCTTTCCTCTGCAGCTGTGCTTTAATTTACCTACGTAAACAAAATCAAAGACTCTCCCCACCCACCTGCTGGGTGAACAATAATAATACTAAGAACAATACCTAAGATATAGAAGCAACAGTAGTGATTCGTGAGGGCTTAGGCTGGGCCAGGCCCTGGCCTGGGGTTTCTCAGCACCAATCTTCACCGGCTGTTCCCTGTCTGGAGTGTTCTTCCCACCAACATCTGCATGGCTCATTTTCTCCCATCCCTCAGGTATCTGATCAAAGCTCACCTTCTCAGGGAGGCCTTCCTGAGCTCCTGTCTAAAGCAGATCCCACCCCCCCACTGTCATGTGATTTCTCATCAGAGCGCCCATCCCTGACATTATGTTACATTTGCATGCGTGTACTGTTTAGCTCCTGCGGGGGAACATCAGCTCTAAGAGGGCAGGGACTGTTGCCTGTCTTGCTCCCTGCCGTTTCTCCAGTGCCCAGGAATATCCCGGGTACAAAGCAGGGGTTTGATAAATACCTGTTGAATTAATGAATGCTTGAATTATTTCTGGTGATCCTCTCAGAGCCTTAAGAAATCATAAATATTCTTCTCATTTTACAAAAGAGAAAAACAGAAGCTCAGAGAGGTGACATGCCCTGGGGAGTATAAAGCTGGGATTTACCCAGACTGGATTGACTCTGAAGACTGTTCACACACCACTTCCCAAGTGACAAATCAGTGCTCTCACTCGGGGGAGGAACCGATGACCCGGGAGGAGCTCAGGTGCTGTGCTGGAAAAAAGGAACCTCTGTGTGGGTGCTCAGAAGGTGGGAAAAGGTCACAGAATGTGACCTGGTCCTCTCCTGTCCGAGGAAAATTCTTTCATTAAGAGCAGTAACTTGAGGGCGCCTGGGTGGCTCAGTTGGTTGGGCGACTGACTGCCTTCGGCTCAGGTCATGATCCTGGAGTCCTGGGATCGAGTCCCGCATCGGGCTCCCTGCTGAGCAGGGAGTCTGCTTCTCCCTCTGACCCTCCTCCCTCTCATGCTCTCTGTCTCTCATTCTCTCTCTAATAAATAAATAAAATCTTAAAAAAAAAAAAAAAGCAGTAACTTGAGATAAGAGTTTGGATTGCACAGGTATATCCATTTGATAGAACTCATTAACCAGTACACTTCAGATCTGTACATTTCATTAGATGTCAGTTTTACCCCAAAAAGAAAAAAAAAAAAAAAGAACCACAAATAGTGAGCTCTAGCTAATGACTACATTCTGAAGCATCTGGAAGGAAGTGCAGAGATATTAGCAACTTAATCTGGAATGTGTAAAAGAAAGTAAAACAAGGTGAAGATGGACAGACTTATGATAAAGTAAATACAGTGAAATGTTTATGGCAGAAAACAGCTGGTGGCTGCGTGGGTGTTTCCCGTAGTTATTTCAACTTTGCTATATGATTGAAAATCTTCTTATCAAATATTGGTGGGGAAGACATTATAAACCACACGACCGGTTTCTTAAGCTTTCCTCCATAAAAGCACAAATTCATGAAAAGGAAAAATCCATGCTTTTATTGCTCACATAATTAATCTGAACTTCAGAGTTAAAAACTGAAGTTCCTAAATACTGATAATAAACAACAACAACAACAACAAAAGAACAACAACGGGGGAGGCAGCGCCTGGGTGGCTCAGTTGGTTAAGGGGCTGCCTTCTGCTCAGGTCATGATCCCAGGGTCCTGGGATCGAATCCCGCATTGGGCTCCTTGCTCAGCAGGGAGCCTGCTTCTCCCTCTCCCTCTGCTGTTCCCCCTGCTTGTACTCTCTCTCTCTGTGTCAAATAAATAAATAAAATCCTAAAAAAAACCAACAACGATGAAGAGACCAGACAGCATTCCCTAAATCAATAATGTCAAATGGATTTTTCACATCCATTCCAATTCTGTCCCTCCAACAACAGCTTCTGGGGACACACTCTGCTGAGAAGAACATCAAAGCAGCACTGGGCTCAGGAAGAAAGGGTGCCAGTGGCTATTGATTTGTGATGTCTGTCTGGGGTGTCAGAGTGGGGAGAGAGGTGGCACATTTGTTGTCCTTGCCCTAAATCCATCACCTATTACAACCTCTAGAGCCTCTGCCAGTCCTTCTGTGTTAACAGATCGCTTTCCACAGATTGGACTATTCTGTACAGGTATGTACATTTGGAAAGGCACCTTTTTTTCACAGTCGGGTCTAACTGTGGAAATAAAACGGTAAACTCAATGAATAAAGTACTGTCTCTCTGCAAGGGTAACTATTAACCCAGGGGGGCTGCCCAGCAACACCCAGCAGACAGGACACCCCACCCCGTTACCTGGCCAAACACAAAGCAGTACAGCGTCACACCCATGGCCCAAACATCCAAAGCCTACAAGAAAAAGAGAGCTTCGTGTAAGGAGACAAGGGGCAGTGGGGGGGGGGGGGGGGGGGGGGAGCTGTCTATTGCTTCTGGCCGGCCAAAAATCAAATCCTCCAGCTTTCCTCTGAGGAACCACCCCTTCCTGAGTCTGGATCCACCGACTGAGGGTAAACTGATGGGAAGGAGCCTGGAACAGCTGGGGGTACCCACCCACCTGGGCAGGAAACCAACTCAAGAAAACAGCTAAAAGATGGAAAGATGGATTCCTGTTTGAATCCCTGTATCTAGCCAAACCAGAAGCCGCTCTTCATCTACATGATCCAATGGATTCATTGTTTAAGCCAGTTTGGGTCGGATTTCTGCCACTTAAGACTGAAAGGACCCTAACACAGACAGAACTCAGCATCTCAGGCAGGTCCACACCAACCTTCCCAGAGAAGATCTTCCGGGTCTCCGAGAGCGACTCTGGTGCCATGAAGGCGGGTGTGCCCACGGTGTTAGAGAGGAGCGCGTCGCTGCCCTTGAACTCGTTGCTCACACCGAAGTCGGCAATCTTGATGTGCCCATCTTCTCCCACCAGGAGGTTAGAAGGTTTGATGTCCCGGTGGATGATCTTCTGGTAGTGTACTGGGGGTGGGGTGGACACCAGATGGGAGAGAGGGGGCAGGAAAACCATGTGAGGAGCTCTGCCTAACCTCCAGAGGCCAGAAATATAGACAAGGACCCCAGTGCTCTCTCACGGCCCCCAGGCCCTTCCCAGCCTTACCCTTCCAAACCTCTTGGATACTCCCAGCTTTGAAAAGGTAAGGCGGGACAGAGTGTGCTTAAGGAAATTACCCCATCTTCAAAAATGAGGAGTGCAACACCGATTGACAATAATAGTAACCACCTGCTCTAGTCTAAGTCGTGGGTGGGCGGTCCCAGGAGAGTTTTTGTTGAGCCTGGCTGGCTTCCAGCTAGAAGCCTCACAACTTGTGACAGTCCAACATATTTTCATTTACTAATGCCAACACTCAACCTGTTCACCACACCAGCAATGAATGGAGCAGGTCGAATGGAAGTGTGGACCACAAAGTAGGACTGGGGACCTCCTTAACTTGCTCCTGCCTGGATGTCAACCCATAGGAGAGGACATGGTCTCTCTTCCTATGGTCTGGAAGACCCAACTGCGTTTCTTTGCTGGTGGTGGTGTTGACAGTGATGAAACCAGTAATAGGGGCAGCAGCTCCATTTGTTGAGTACCCCATCTGGGGCCCAGCCCTGTGTTAAGTGCTTCCCATTTTCTCCATTTAAATCTCCCAACAATTAAATCTCCCAACAATTAAAATCTTAAAAAAAGGGCGCCTGGGTGGCTCAGATGGTTAAGCGTCTGCCTTCGGCTCAGGTCATGATCTCAGGGTCCTGGGATCGAGTCCCGCATCGGGCTCCCTGCTCCTTGGGAGCCTGCTTCTCCCTCTGCCTTTCTCTCTCTCGCTCTGTCTCTCATGAATAAAAAAAAAAAAAAAAAAAAAAAAACTCTAAAATCTTAAAAAAAAAAAACGGAAGGGGGCGCCTGGGTGGCTCAATCGGTTAAGCATCTGCCTTTGGCTCAGGTCATGATCCTGTGGTCCTGGGATCGAGTTCCGTGTCGGGCTCCCTGCTCGGCAGGGAGTCTGCTTCTCCCTCTCCCTCTCCCTCTCCCTCTCCCCTGCTCATGCTCTCTATCTCTCTGTCTCAAATGAATAAATAAAATCTTAAAAAAAAAAATAAATCTCCCAACAATCCTATGTGATGGGCAAGGGGAAGAGACAAAATGTTTAACAACCAGAAGCAGAAAGGACACCTGTCAGAACTACTGATATGAACTGGCTGATTTCCACCCTGGTGAGAGACACTTTATTCCCGTTTAACAGATGAGAAAACTAAGGTAACAGGAGGTGAACAGGATCCCCATCCCAGGGTTGCTGGGAATAAGGGACAATATAAATACAGCCCCTAATGGTGCCTGGTACACACAGAAAGTGCTGGGGGAAACAGTCATTATCAATACGGCTCTTAATTTTTGTGGCAGAAGAAGGGTTTCTTTTTCCATCATGAGCATGGCTTTCTGTAGCTGTCCAAGACTGCATGTCAGACAATTCTGTCTCTCACCCTCCTGCTTGCACTCCAGGAGGGAAAGTCCACTTTCCCACCTGCCATCCGCTAGTTGGGATGTTAACCAACCCTGGGTGAGAATCCTCCCACAGGCCCCCGCTTACGGTACTCTATGCCTTTGATCAGGTCCTGGAAGTAGAAACGGGCCTGGTCTTCCGAGAGTGGTTTGAGGGTGGGCACTTCCATCACAGGCCTAGAAGGTCGATGCACACATGAAAAGCAAACCAGATACACTGGCCTTCAGAACCAGGCACCACCTCCCTTGAGAAGCTCTGCGGCTTGAGAAGCTTCAGGCATCACACCCGCAAGGAAAACGGGACACTCACCCTTGGTTGACCAGTTCAAACACTGCAGGAAAGAGAAGGGGGTGAACTGTTACATTGGGAAATTGGAAATCCATCTTCCTCCTCCTCCTCCTCCTTCCCAATCGCTCACGGAAACACCAAGAAGCACAGAAACTAGTATTCGGGCTGGGGAAAGGAACAATCCACTGAGCCAAAGCTGGTCAAGGTCCTGCTCGGGAGGCTAGGGGTCAGTGATCTCTGACCCTGGTCTGACTATACTTCTTCTAGTCCTCAAAACAGCCAAGGACCCCCTGGCCAGGGAAAACAAAGCAAGGAGACAGGAGACAGGCAGAGATGGCTCATGGGCTCCTTTCTTCTCTCCATTCATACCTTGGAGATTCCAGGGATATGACTGATACTAAACTACGTCCTCTTAGTCACACCCAGGTCCTGAGTCACCTGATGCCAAAGAACAAGACTATGGGGACACAACCCAACATCTGTTTACTTAGGCACAAAGAAAGAGCCCTAGGGGTCTTCAGAACCCTAGGAAAGTTTTGATCCAAGAAACAACAGGAACATGTTTCAACAATCCCTCCCACATCCTCCACACTGCTGGGCTGTGTCAGGCCACAGACCAAGAATGCTTATAGATTCTTCCAGCTCTTCTATGCTCTGTGGTCAGCTGGACCTCAGACTCTTTCCCGTGACTCTCAATCCAAAACAAGACTTGAGCGAGAGGTGGGGGTGGAGATTTCCTCACCACCTCAAAGGCCAATGCATCCCACGACTCCTGAACAGGGCCTTTCTTGACTCACATTCGTGCATGACCTGCAAATGCCTCCCACCAAGCCAGCTCCTTCCCAGTCCTGTACTTGCGGGGAATCCCTGCTCCAAACCACCAAGTATTAGATAAGCTGTGTCCAGGGAATGCACAGGGCTTTGTTGTTGTTGGGGCTTTTTTGTTTTGTTCTTTGCATTTTTAAAAATTGAGGTGAAATTTTCCTAACATAAAATTAACTATTTTAAGATTTACAATTCAGTGGCATTTAGCATTCCCGATGCTGTGTGACTATGCCTCCACTTAGTTCCAGAAAGTTTTCAGCCCCTCATAAAGAAACCCCATGCCCATGAGTAGTCAGTCCCCTCCCTCCAGGCCCCTGGCACCCACTAATCTGATTTCTCTTTCTACGGATTTGCCTATTCTGGACATTTCACATATATGGAATCATATACTATGTGACCTTTTGTGACAGGCTTTTTCACTTAGCATCGTATTTTCAAGGTTCATTCATGTTGTAGCATCAATCAGTACTTCATCCCTTTTTTTTTAAGATTTTATTTATTTATTTGAGAGAGAGAGAGTGAGAGAGAGAGCCCAAGAGGGGGTAGGGTCAGAGGGAGAAGCAGACTCCCTGCCGAGCAGGGAGCCCGACGTGGGACTCGATCCCAGGACTCCGGGATCACGACCTGAACCGAAGGCAGTCGCTTAACCAACTGAGCCACCCAGGCACCCAGTACTTCATCCCTTTTTATGGCTGAATACCATTCCACTGTGTGGATATGCCACATTTTGTGTATCCAGTCATTAGCTAATGAACATTCAGGTTGTTTCCACGTTTTGGCTATTGTGAATAGTGCTGCTGTGAACATTCGTGTACAAGCATTTCTGTACAAGTACTTGTGTGGATATCTGTTTTCAGTTTTGGTGGGTATATACCTAAGAGTAGAATTACTGGGCAATGTTGAATAATTATTTTAATTTTGTCCTGCTTGGACAAACATAACTGGGAACATGAAACTATCCTATAGGAAGTGAAAAACGCAGTGAATTTCAACATCAAGTGGCGAATAACTTTGGCGCTCTCTGTTGTTCTAGAATCATCTACCCACATTGGAGTTTCTTACAGAAGAAACCAAAAGGATGGTTTCAAAGATCTCCAAGGGCTCAGGTGGCTGAGAGACAAGAGCCGGCTCCTCAGATAAAAAGAAGACCAGGAAAGGAACTTAGCTCCCTCAGGCCCCTCCCCATCTTCAGGTTCATCAACCAGTGTTGGGCAAACCCAAGCTAGGGCAGATCTGCCGTGGCTTCAGGCTATGGTTGGAAGCAAAAAGCAACAGCACTTGAAGGGAAGGTTTCCACAGACAGGAGCGAGGGTCCCTTCAGCTCTGGCCTATCCCACCTTTGTTCTGGAAGACTTAACTTCCAAGAGCTGCTTCAGGAATTTCTGTGCTTCCTCCTAAGCACCATAACTTGGTTGGCATGGAGGGAGCTAGTTATTAGTGACTGAAAACACAGCCACCCAGGCGCCCCTCTCACGTAATTTTTTAAAGTTAACCTATCTAGGGGCACCTGGGTGGCTCAGTTAAGTGTCTGCCTTTGGCTCAGGTCATGATCCTGGGGTCCTGGGATCGAGCCCCACTTCCTTCGAGCTCTCTGCTCAGCAGGGAGTCTGCTTCTCCCTCTCTCTGTCCCTCCCCCTGCTCGTGCTCTCTCTCTCTCTCTCTCAAAAAATAAAATCTTAAAAAAAAATAATAAAGTTGGGCGCCTGGGTGGCTCAGTCGTTAAGCGTCTGCCTTCGGCTCAGGTCATGATCCCAGGGTCCTGGGATCGAGTCCCACATCAGGCTCCCTGCTCGGCAAGAAGCCTGCTTCTACCTCTCCCATTCCCCCTGCTTGTGTTCCTGCTCTCGCTATCTCTCTGTCAAATAAATAAATAAAATCTTTAAAAAAAATAAAATTAAATAAAATAAAGTTAACATATCTGATGTTATTTACTGTGTAGCCTCAAAATTGTTTCTATAGGAAGATTTTATAAGTTCTAAAATTTACAAATAAACTGGCAAAAAAGAGTTCTAAAATTTGAACATGGAGTGCACATTAGATGCTCTTAGGGAACTGGCATTAACTTTTTCAGATGTCATAATGGTATTGTGACCACACAGGAGAATGTCCCTATGTGAGATGCACGCTGAAGTATTCAGAGGCTGAAGTGTCAAGATGTCTGCCACTTTACATTTTGGATAGTTCAGCAAAAAAAATACAGAAATGGATGGGTGGGTGGCTAGGCTGATAAAGCAAATCTGACAAAAAAATTATTAACTGTTGAATCTGGGTGGTAGGTATACAGGTATTCATTGTACTATTCTTTCAACTTTTCTGTAGGCTTAACATTTGTCATAATGAAAACCTGGGGCGGGGAAGAGGAGGGGGAAATGAAAAATAAAATGGCCTAAGCTGCAACGCTTCCTCGGAACTGAACCATAGCAACTCTGTGAGGAGAAAGTGAGCTCTGAGCTGTTTTCAAACCAGACCCCATACAATCACTCCTTGTGCAACAAAGGATCATCCCCGTGCTCATCCAGGAGACTTCTAGATTCCAGGCTGGGCTCGTGCCCACTCTCCTCACCTCCTTGATACCCCTCCCGGCTGTCATCTGTCATCTGCTCATTTGAATGCCCACCCAAGCCATATTGCAAGGACATGTGACCTGTCAATCATGCATTCCTGGGCCCAACAGTCTGCTATCTAGTTTTGAATTAGTCCTGCCCTTCCTTCCTTCATCAGTACCTATGCTGAGAGCTGACAGAGGGCTGTCCCATGTCCTCACCAGTTTTTAAAAATCAAATCTCTGAGGACATGCCTGAGTCCTCATTTCTTTGTGCAGTGCCCTCCAAGGCTCCAAATGCCCCACGTGGCCTCAGGCTCTCCATCCTCATCCCCATCCCCATCCCCTCTCCCTGGTTTACTCTGTCCCAGCCACATTTTTCTCAAACACGCTAAGCTCTCACCAGCCTCAGGGCCTTTGCACCAGCTGTTCCCTTTGCCTGGAATGCTCTTCCCCACATGTAACAGGACTGTGTCTTTGACATTCAGGTGCCAAATCATCACCTCATATGTGAAGTGGCCCCTCAATCCCTCTCTCTCACGTCATCCTATTTAACCTTCTTCAGAGGATCTACTGAACTTAACTGATTTATTTAGTTGTTGACTATCTGTCTTCCTTGACTAAAATGTCAGCCTCGGAAGAGCGGGAGCCTCATCTTTCTCACTCACCACTGCATCCTTAGTGCCTAGAACCTGCTCAGCATTGGCAGGTGCTCAATAAATACTTGCAAGTGAATGAACAGGACCTCCAGAGAAGTCCCAGCAAGCACTCCCTTCCACCTCCTGCTTCAAACCAGGGCTGCAGCCTCACATGTGACTCACTGTGGTGCCCGGCTTTGGCGGGGGATGCCAAGGACAGGGAATGCTCCAGAGGACCCCTGGGCTTTGGCAGGTGCAGCTGCCTGAGCAAAGGTGGCGGATGGCAAGGGCTCTCTTACCCATGTACAGATGGTCCTCATTGGGGTCATCCAGGACCTATTGGCAAAGCCACACGGAACAGGCCGGAGATGAGGAGCATGGGAGAGGAAGAGAGAGAAATGATATGAGCAGGGAGGAGGCAGCATCCACATGACTGCATTTGCCAACAGGAGGGCTGTGCTTTCCACTGGTTTTCCTGGTTAAGATGAAGGGCACAGGAAAAAACCCAGAGTGTGTGATCCAAATGGCCATCTGGAAAATAGCCACATTCTAGCCCAATCCTCAAGGGTCCAAAACACCTAGAAAAGAGGTTACAAAAGGGAGGGGCAAATGCCTCCCCTGGGAAATGGGGGCGCCCGGCTGGCTCAGTTAGTCGAGCAAGCAACTCTTGATCTCAAGGTCGTGAGTTTGAGCCCCACATTGAGAGTAGAGATTACTTAAAAAAAAAAAATTTTTTTCTTTTTTTTTTTTAAAGATTTTATTTATTTATTTGACAGAGAGAGACACAGCGAGAGAGGGAACACAAGCAGGGGGAGTGGGAGAGGGAGAAGCAGGCTCCCCGCAGAGCAGGAAGCCCGATGCGGAACTCGATCCCAGGACCATGGGATCATGACCCGAGCTGAAGGCAGTCACTTAACCAACTGAGCCACCCAGGCGCCCCCCAAAAATTTCTTTTTTTTAAATTCCTCCCCTGGGAAGTGTCTCAGTTTCAGTAAGAATCCCACCCGTCTCCTAGGAGACAGAGGACTGATCCTCAGGGTGAAAATGCAAATCCTGTCTGGGCGCTTCCGACTCCTCCATGAAGTGCCCCCTGACCTCCTGCCCCTGTAAGAAAAGACGTCCCCCTGCCCGGAACCGCCATGGCATGTCCTCGCTCTCCTCTCACGGCCATCCTGCTTTCAGCTCATCACCTATGTCTATCTTGTCCGTCTCTGCAAACAGCTGTATCCGCCTGAGTTGCCCCCGTGGTGCCCTATACAGGACAAGGCTCATAGTCGGTGCTCAGGAAATGCCTGATGAATGTCCATGGCCATCTGATGAATGTCTGAGGTCTGTCCAACAGGCAAGCTGGCAACCAGTCTTGTTGGGTGGACAGGTCAGATGCCACAGGGCAGTGGGGGCCAGGGAGATCATGCCAGGACCCAGAGCCACTCACTAAACCAAGTGTCCTTGAGCTTCCTCTAAGACGGCTGACTCCAGCCATCAGTGAACTGAGACTGTGAAACTCAGCGTGACAGGTGAAGACAGCCTGCAGCCACCGTCCCTCTCCTTCTCTCCTTGGCTAGACTGGTCCTCCTGCCTCTTCCCACATCATCCTCACCTTCCCCAGTCAACCAAGATCCACAGGACGAGAGCCCTGAGAAAGAGATGCACCCTAGGCTCCCACCTGGAGCCCTAAGCCCTGCCCTGTCGGGGGAGTCTGACCCAGGGCATGGCCCACCTAGAGCCCATACCTGAAAAGCCCCAGGAGGGCATGGCTACTAACCCTCACACCCACCAAAGTCAGGAGTATACCCCCAAACAGAGGGCACCGGCCCTTTGCACATGCTGTTCCTTCCTCTGCGATGCCCTTCTCTGTCCTTTCCCTGTTATCTCCATCAGGGAACAACCGGGGTCATCACAAACATCCTTTCCCTGAAAAGCCTTCCTCAGCTGTTTGGGCTGGCTGGCTGCTCGCACTCCATGCTCCTGCAGCACGACGAACACCCGTCCAATTACGTACTTTATCACATGCCATTTACAAGTCCTGTCATCTAGGCCAGAGGTGCTGCAAATGTAGTTCGCGGACTTCTAGGGACCCTCAAGATGCTTTCGGGGAGATCATGAGGTCAAAACAATTTTCACACTAAAACTAAGCTAAGGAGCACTGGGTAGCTCACTCGTTTAAGCGTCTTGCCTTTGGCTCAGGTTATGGTCCCTTGATCCTGGGATCGAGCCCGGCGTCCGGCTCCCTGCTCAGCGGGCGCCTGCTTCTCCCTCTCCTCCTTGCTCATGCTCTCTCGGTATCTCTCTCTCTCTCTCTCTCAAATAAATAAAAATAAAATCTTATTGGGGCACCTGGGTGGCTCAGTTGGTTAAGCGTCTGCCTTTGGCTCAGGTTGTGATCCCAGAGTCCTGGAATCAAGCCCCGCATCAGGCTCCCTCTTCAGCCGGGAGCCTGCTTCTCTCTCTGCCCCTCCCCTGCCCAGCTCGTGCTCTCTCTCTCTTTCTCTGTCTGAAATAAATAAATAAAATCTAAAAAAATAAAACAAATAAATAAAAAATAAAGTAAAATCTTATTTTAAAAAGTAATAAAATAAAATAAATAAAACTAAGATAATATTTGCCCTTTCTACTCGCATTCTCTGCTAGTAGAGAAACGAGAAACCACATGGCATGCAAAATCACCACAGCTGAATGCAAGAGCAGATATGAGAATCCAGCCATCTTCTATTAAGCCAGACGTCAACAACAACAAAAATTTGCAAAAATGTGAAATGCCAGGGCGCCTGGGTGGCGCAGTCTGTTAAGCACCCAACTCCTGGTTTCGGCTCAGGTCATGATCTCAGGATCCTGGAATCGAGCCCTGTGTCGGACTCCACACTCATCGCAGAGTATGCTTGGGACTGTCTCTCCCTCTCCCTCTGCTCCTCCCCACCGTGCTCTCTCTCTACCTCTCTCTAAAATAAATAAATTTTTAAAAAATAAAATGTAAAACGCCACTCTTCTTAAAATTTTTTCAGAAAATATACTTATTTTTCATAAAAATATATTGTTATATAATGGGATTGTTGTTTTTAAATGAATTAATAAATAATTTTTAAGCTTCTCAGTTTTAAATCTTAATATGGCAAATAATAATAAATACAACCCACATATGCAAAACTTTTTTGGGGCCTTCAATAATTTTGAAGGACATAAAGGAATCCTGAGACCAAAAACTGTGAGAACTGCGCATCTAGAACAGGGGATGGCAAATATAGCATGCAAGCCAAATCTGGCCCTCTGCCCGTTTTTTGCAAATAAAGTTTTATTAGAACACAGCCATGCCCATTTGTTTACATGCATATGGCTGCTTTTGTGCTAAAACCACATAGAGAAAGAGAGAGAGAGAGAGAGAGAACCAGCTTCAAAGACAAAAATGGATAAAGGGCAAGTCTCGGTATCCCTCTGACCTTCAATTTTTTTATCTGTAAAATGGGAATAATAAATAGTCTTAGGGAAGGGTGAGGATAACATGAAAGAACAGGGGTGAAGAAACCTAGAGCAATAAATACTACTTAGCTCTGCAACAGCTGTTTAACATGGTATGGCTCTCCCTAGAAACTAGTGGTGCAGCGTTTGGGTAATAACAGAGCTGGGCCTGGACAATCACCATTCTTGCCTCCCTCCTCCCTGTCCCCCTAGCTCACCTCCACCAGCTTCACAACATTGGGGTGGTCTAGCTTCTTGAGGATGGCGATTTCCTGGTACACCTGCTCAATGGGGCCCCTAGGCTGGATGCAGCCTCCAGGGGCTGGCCGAGTGCCTCGGGGCGGGGGGCGACCTGGAGGAGACACAGACCATCCCAAGGTCAGGGCAAAAAGCTTTTCCTCTGCAAATGGGGGGGCAATGGAAGTGAGGGGGGTCTCGGCAGAGCTGGAGTGGCTGATGCCACCAGGGGCCATAAGTAGCTTGCTCCTCTCATCTGTCTCTTCTGCTGCTGAAAATCAGTGAGGCTGGAGACCCAGCCCCCTTGCTCAGCTTTCTGTCCCCTCCTTCCCATGCCATACCCCAGGCCATAGTGATAGGAGTCTTCGAGGCCTCTACCCGGGCACTCTGCAGGGGACACCATTCAGTGGGATCTTCTTTGTCGTGCCCCAGCCCTGCACCTAAGAGCAAAGGCCCACCAAACTCACGTGGAAAGCCCGCCTGTCGGATCAGCTTCTTTTTGGACAGCACCTTCATCGCCTATGGGAGAAAAGACCCCACATCTTGGTTAAAATGGAGAGGAAGGAGGAGGGAGAGTTCCCTCCACTCCTAGGCCAGCCAAAGCTCTTGGCTTCCTGGCAGCCTCAGGACAATGTAGTGAGTGCTTCGTCATCAGAGTGGGTCAAGCAGCTGCGGGTGGCCTGGGGGCTGGACTGCCAGGGTCCCCCCAGCCCTGAGGGTGCTTCTGAGGTTCCTGGTCCTCTTTCCTAGCTGGGACCACAAGCCTTGGGACTCGATACAAGTGAATCAAGACACTAGTGAGCTGGAGTGATGGACGAGGGACAGGCTGTTCTACACATGGGGAAACTGAGGCTCAGGTGTTATGTCACTTGGCCAAGGACACACAGTTGGCAGATGGGAGAGCCAGAATTTGAACCCACACCGGACTGACCCCAAAGCCTCAGCTACAAGGGCAATTTGTCTCACTACCACCTGGTTCTTGGTGCTATGAAGGATGTAGAAATGGTAGCCCAGAGTAAGGTTATGAGACATTTACTGAATTTACACATTTTCTTTCTGAGCCAATCACTTTGCCTCCCCATTTCCACATCCATATAATGGGAACACCACTTCCTTCCTAATGCACGAAATGAAATGACTTAAGAATAAAATGAGACAACAGCGAAGAAAATCTTCCAGGAAACCAAGTTCTGGAAAGGAGGCTTTTGCTTTGGACAATGGTGAGGGCAGGGAAGGGGACATGGATACTCACGTAATAGGTATTGTCATTTTCATTGTAGGCCAACTTGACCACACCATAGGAGCCCTGGATAAAGGGAGATGCCCATGACATACTATCCAGAAGTTACAATCTGCAAAATGAGGACCCTAATACAGGGGCTGCAAATCAGCGGCCAAATGGCCAAATCTGCTCTGCAATTACATTTTATTGCATCTGCAGTTTTTAGAAAGTTTGAATTAGCTGCCAACATTTAAAAACAGAAAGATCAGATATAAAATCTAAAATCTCAGCTTCTTTTGAAAAAAATCAGATCTGTCCATTATGGACCCATAATCATTTCTACATGTTAACAGTTTGCCACAGTCCTCACCACTCCCTACTGCCTTAGACCTAGCATGCTTTGCTCATTTATATTACTCACTTGCTTTCTACTGGCATTTGAATTTTTGACCCCTGCAAAGATATTGCCCATTGGCTGAAATAAAAGCAAAAATAGATGTGAGAGTACCTTAGAGGGGAAAAAAAAAAAACACTAATGTTGGTGATATGGAATTCCCTCAAAGCTGTCTGAGCTTTTGTGGAAACACGTTACTATTATGATGTAGACAATAAACCAGATGGACCACTGATGACAAAACCCTCCCCCACAATCTCGCCTCCAAGGACTTCTTCCCACTCCCAGCTCTAGCAGGTTCCCTCCACTGTATCTGAGACATTTCTTGGTAGATGTAGAAAACCAGCCTGGCTCCTGGGATATTTACCTTTCCAATTTCATCCTTCAGCGTGTACTGATTCAGCTGTACACAATCCTGGAAAGTTAAGTAGAAACACACAGTATATGAATTGTAAGTTTGCACCTCAATATGTTTTTCACAAAACAAACACATGAACCAGGACCCAAATCAGGAAAGAGAATTTTCCCAGCCCCCTAGAAGCATCTACCAGGGTGACCACTACCCTGACTTCTAACAGCAGAGTTTTTGTACATTGCAAAAAGGTGATCATACAGTATGTACTCTTTTAATACCCATTTTTTTAAGATTGTATTTATTTTTGACAGAGAGAGAGAGTGTACAAGCAGGGGAAGCAGCAGGCAGAGGGAGAGGGAGAGGGAGAAGCAGGCTCTCCACTCAACAAGGAGCCCGATGTGGGGCTCAATCCCAGGACCCTGGGATCATGACCTGAGCCGAAGGCAGACGCTTAACCATCTGAGCCACCCAGGCGCCCCCTTAATACCCATTTTTAAGAGGTGTTCCCAAAATGTTGATTTTAAATTAAACAAGTAATCCTATCTAAGGACTATGCTGCCCTATAAAAACATAAAGTGACATAAAGGAGAGAATATCTGACCGTGAGGCTGATAATGGTTTCTTAATGGTTTCTCAAAGGTTCTTTTTGTACAAAAGTACAAGATATAAAAGGCAACAAGTGATAAACTGGATTTCATCAAAATTAAAACCTTTGCTCTTTGGAAAAAAAAAAAAAAAAAACAAAAAACTTTTGCTCTTCGAGACACTCACTATTAAGGAAACAAAAGGTAAGCCACAGCCTGAGAGAAACTATTTCAACACATCAGACTGGCATCCAGACAGATAAAGAACTCTTATAACTCATTAATAACAACACCCTCATCTTAAAAATGAAGATATACAAATGATCAGCAAGCACATGAAAAGAGGCTCAAAATAAAAAAGGAGGCTCAACATCATGAATCATGGGGGAAATGTAAATTAAAACCACACCCATTAGCTTGGCTAAAATCCAAGACTGACCATACCAAGTGTTGTCAGAATAATGTAGGGCATGGAGAAGCTTTGCACACTGCTGGTAGGAATTTAAAATGGTGCAGCCTCTTCGGAAAACAGTTGGGCAGTTTCTTAACAAACACCTCCTCCAGGACATAGCCATTCTGCTCCTAGCTGTTCATCTAAGAGGTGTGAAAACTCGTGTCCGTGCAAAGACTTGCAGACAAATGTTCGAAAGAGCTTCATGTGTAATAGTCAAAACACTGGAAACAACTCAAACGCCCACTGACAGATAAACAGTGGTCAACAAACAGTGGTCCATTGCAGACAACAGAGTGCTAGTTAGCCGTAAAAAGGAAGCATGCAACAACACGGACAAATCTCGAAATCATCATGCCGTCAAAGAAGCTAAGCCCAAAAAAGAGTACATACTAGATGATTCCACTTACATAAGGTTCTTGAACTTGCAAACTAATCTACAATGCTAAAAAGCAGGTCAGCGGTTACCTGGGAAAGGGGAAGAAGGGGGAGGATGTGCCGTTGGGTGTGTGGGGAAGGTTTGTGATCCTGACTGGGGCCATGGTTTCACAGACGTATGCATATATCAGCACTGATCATATTGTACACTTGAAATATGTGCACTTTGTTTTACTTCAATTATACCTCAACATATTAGGGAGGAAATGTTAGGTGATAGAAGAAGTAAAACTGGGAAAAGAAACATGATAGAAAATAACACTTCCAGTGTTACAGATAAGCCCAACACTTCCCTTGAACCCCCCATCCCAATTCTAACCCTTTCCCCGAACCTTGACATCGGTTTGGTGCATAAACTTCCAGGCCTTTCTCTATGTAAATGCAAGCATACATGCACCTGTTGAAAATACAGAGCATCGTTTTGGGATGGGGTTTGGGAGGCAAAAATGATGTCACACTAGATCATTTCTCTCTCAACGTCACTGGAGACAGTTACATGTCTGAGTGTACACACCGACCTGCGTCTTTTGACCTGCTGTATAGCACTCCTCGGCTCACAGAGCCCTCCCTTCACCACTAGGTTGCTTCCTCTGTTTCTTTCCAGTGTTGACTGTATTCCCATGAGTCCTAGAGGGATGGGACAGGCTGAAGTGGGACCCTGCAGAGTTGTCCTAAGGGGTCTCACTGCCCCTAATCTAAGCCCCAAACGCTGCTGAATTCATCTTCCAGATTCCACTCTGATCCCATCAGGCCCTGATGCTTCCAGGGTCAAGTCCTGACTCCACTCCTCTGACCTTGGCAGAGTCACCTAATTGCCAACCAAATACCAGGCTCCCCTTTCTTCCTTATAAATGGATAGCTGGGTGGCAATGTACCAGGCTGGAAAACTGCATTTCCCAGCCTCTCTTACAGCTAGGGGTGGCCACATTGTCTATGTTCTGGGTAGCGGGAGTAGGCAGAAGTTGTTGGGTAGAGTTTCCAGGAAAAAGGACTGACTTAGACAGCAGATGACTTTTGCTCTTCTTCCCTATTCCTTCTTCCTGTCTGGAATGAAGCTGTGAGGGCTACAGTCACAGCAGCCATCTTGAGACCATGAGGTTTTAAGGACAACAACAACAACAGGACCACCACACAGGTCCCAAAAGCCTACCTCCAGATTTATTTTACATGATAAATAAGCCCTATTGTGTTAAAGCCACTTCTGTGGTGAAGGGTGGTGTGTCTCTATTTCTCTAGGCTGACTCAACTCTAACTGAAATAAACCCAAACTCTCCCTCTAGCCCTGTTGCCGCAGTGCTCCCCACATGGGCCCTATTTTTCAGCTAGCTGAACCCCTGACTCCCCTTCCCCCCACACCCTGACTTCTACCCCTGGGCCTTTGCTCACGCTGTGCATTCCCCTGCAGTGAACTCTCTGTGTGTACCCATCTCCAATTATGAAAATCCTACCTAGCCCTCAAAATATAGTTAAATACCGGCCCCTTTAGAAAGCCATTCTTGATATCCATGCTTCTCCCAATTAAATTCATTCATTCCTTCAACAAATATTTTTGTGTTCCTACTATGTGCACTGGGTGCCGGGAACATGATGGTGACAGGACTGTTCCTTCTGAGCTTACATTCTAGCTGGGGAGACAGGCCAAAAACAACTCAACAGACACACAGATAATCAGATGGTGATGGGTGTCGCATCAACAGGGTGACAGGGGAGAGGGGCTGAGGGCTGAGGCCGCTTACAGAGGGTAGTCTGAGAGGCCCTTCAGAGGAGGAGACATTTGAGTTGGGAGACAGACCTGCAAAGACAGGGGGGCCAGAAGGGGGGGTCCAAGCACAGAGGACAGCAGGGGTAAAGGCCTAATGGAGGGAATGAGCGTGAATATCTGAGGAATACAAAGAAGGCAATGTGGATGGAGCCCTGTGAGCCGGCAGCAGAAAGGCAGGAGATGGGGCGGGAGAGGGGGCGGGGGCAGATCACTCAGGCCCAGTGTGCCCTAGTGCTGCTCTGAGTTCTAACCTACCTCCCAGAAGTTTTCAGTAAGGATCAAAAGAGAAATACACACCGAAGGCTGAGAGCCGTGCCTGGTGCCCTGCTGCTGGGCCGGGACGCTTCTCACTGACCGCCAGCCCCACACAACTCCATCCACCAGTGCCTGCATCTCGGCTGGATGCTCTCTGTGGCCCCAGAGCTGCTGTGCCCACTCTCAGGGCAGGTCACCTGCCCCCAGAAGCCCCCACCAGCAACTGCCAGGAGTTGGTATGAGAGGCCCAGCTCCCTTGGCCCTCCGGCCGGATAACTCTGAGGTACAGGACTTTCTACACTGTCAAACAGGGTTCCCCAGAGATGGAGCCCCAGTTGCGCATGGCGGCAACCAGTTCCCTCGGGCACCCTTGTAGACCTCCTCCTCTTCCCCCCTCACTTCCCACCCCCACCTGGGGTTCCTAGGGTCACGTCCCAAATGGACGCCACCTAACAGAGGACCGCGCGGGCTCGGCCAGCTCACACACCTGCATGCCAGTGATGGAGACATGGTGGGACTCCACGGTGGGCCGCCGGGGCAGCCGCGGCGAGGACTGCGGGGAGCCCACCGGCGAGTGGGGCAGGGCCGCGTAGACGCAGCGTCCGTTCGCATCCAGCTGGGACCGCTCCTGCAGGGAGAGCTTGCGACTGCACAGCTGGGGCCGGGCCTGGGGCCCGGAGGCGGAGGCGTCGGGGGGTCCCTCTCGGCCATCGGCCTCCTGGGGCCGGTCCCGGGCCGGGCCGCGGTCCACTGCGCAGCCCGGCTCACACTCGGTGACCACGATGAAGGACTCCATGCCCAGCCGGATGCTCAGGGACGAGAGGCCCTGCAGGGCCTCACAGGGCTTCTGGCCTTCGCTGCCGCCGCCGCCCCCCAGCTCATCCTGGAGGGCGGCCGGGTCGCTGCTGGGCTGGCTAGAGACGCATGATGACATGGTGCGCGCGCCCGGGCACTCCCATCCGGCAGCAGGGCCACCTGCGGAGAGAGGAAGGGTCAGCCGCCCACTGCGGGCAGGACAAGGGAAGCGGGCTGCCCCCGGGCACCGCGGGGACCTCCTTCCCGCCTCCTGTGGACAGCCTTAAAAAATCTTGCAAAACATGGGGGCGCCTGGGTGGCTCAGTTGGTTAAGCGACTGCCTTCGGCTCAGGTCACGATCCTGGAGTCCTGGGATCGAGTCCCAACTCCGGCTCCCTGCTCCGCAGGGGGTCTGCTTCTCCCTCTGACCCTCTTCCCTCTGGTATCTCTGTCTCTCATTCTCTCTCTCTCAAATAAATAAATAAAATCTTTAAAAAAAAAAAATCTTGCAAAACATGACGTGATAATGATCTTAAGTCTATACAGAAGAGCCTACTCCACATTTCCTTATTTGAAAAGCCCCTCCTCACACACAGACGAAATCCAAACTCCATCTCTGTAGGAACCAAGTATGAGAAAACCCCAAAATAGAGTAAGCCTGCCCCCTACAGAGGCGGCAGCTACTTCCAGCTCAAGCCGCTTGTTGCTAAACTGGGATTTGGGCCTAGAATTGCCTGTTCCCCCCACCCCACCACCACCACTTTTTTTTTCTACCTATTTATTATTTCATGTTTTCCTAGTTCAGCACACTAGCTGGTGCCTGCCAGGCAAAAGGCAAACATGAAGTGGAAGGTTGACATCGGAGCACCTGGCTGGCTCAGCTGGTAGAGCATGCAACTCTTGATCTCAGGGTCGTGAGTTCAAGCCCCACAATAGGAGTGAAAAGAAAAAAAAGGTTGACGTCAAATAGTTTTTCAAGGCGTTCCTCAAAAAGCCTAGACGGAGAATGACCACATGACCCAGCAAGTGTTTCTAGGTACACACATGAATAGCACTATTCACCATAGCCAAAAGGGAAAACAACCTCCATGTCCATCAACAGCTGAATGGATAAGCAGAATGTGGTCTAACCACACAATGGAGTATTATTCAGCCATTAAAGGAATAAAGTACTGACACCTTTTACAGTCCGAACGAACCTCAAAAACATCATGCTAAGTGAAGGAAGCCAGACCCCAAAGATCATGTATGTATAATTCTCTTTAACTGAAATTTCTAGAATAGGCAAATCCATAGAAACAGAAAGTAGATTAGTCGTTGCCTAGGACTGAGGAGGTGTTGGGGAGAATGGGAGTGACTACTAATGGGTACGGGTCTCCTGGGGTGATGAACACGTTCTGGAATTAAACAGACGAGGTGACGGCACAAAACTGTCAATGTACTAAGTGCTGCTGAAGGGTTCATTTTTAAGCGGCGAAGTTCGTGTTATGTGAATTAAGAAAAAAAAAAGTTGGCACTTCCTTCGACTGTCAATTCCTTCCGTCTCTGGGACAGATCATTAACCTTTGGTCCATGTGTTTGACAAATTCTGCTGGACAAATGTCACAGGTGCCACTAGGATTCAGGGAGTACATCCTAATGGTGGCAGCTCCAGACTGATCACCCACATCACAAAGGTGCCAGGCAAACAGTGGCACTGAGTAGAGAGATTTTATGAATGAATAAGAGGGTATCTCTTTATGACGCTGTGTGGCAGTGAGGGGATAGGGAGGAAGGTGCAGATGGGAGCAGAAAGCCAGTGTGCTTCCTGGAGGAGTTGGGTGAGGGACAGACAAATGCCACTTGCCTTCTTGGGATAGTCCTGTAAGAAGTATTTATGGGGCGCCTGGGTGGCTCAGTTGGTTAAGCGACTGCCTTCGGCTCAGGTCATGATCCTGGAGTCCCGGGATCGAGTCCCACGTCGGGCTCCCTGCTCATCAGGGAGTCTGCCTCTCTCTCTGACCCTCCCCCCTCTCATGCTCTCTCTCTCTATCTCATTCTCTCTCTCAAATAAATAAATAAAATCTTTTAAAAAAAAGAAGTATTTATGGAACAGCTTGCTTCTGTGTCCGGCAATCTGGACAGTAACCTAGGTGGATGGGGTCTGTGCTCTTGTGGAGGAGGGAAAGATCAATGGGAAAAGCATTAACAAAATCATTGCAGCATCCTAGGTATAGTTTATGAACAAGGAGTTCACGGTAAAAGAGTGACAAAGAAAGCCATCATGGGACAAGATGCTCAGCCTCAGCTAGGTTAGAGAAGGGCAAATTTAAACTACAGTGAAATGGTCTGGTGGGTCCTCAAAAAGTTAATTGCAGAATGACCACAGGATCCAGCAATTCCTTTCCCAGGTATGTATCCAGGAGAATTAAGTAAGGGATCCAAATAGCTACAAATACACCCTTGCTCCTGACAGCACTATGCACAGTCAAAAGGTGGAAACAACCCAAGTGTCCATCAACTGTGAATGGATAAAAGAATGTGTTCTATCCATATGATGGAGTATTATTCAGCCATAAAAAGGAATGAAGTTCCAACACATGCTACACCCATGGATGAACTGTGAAAACATGCTAAGTGAAACAAGCCAAATATTAAAGGACAAATACCATATGACTGCAATGATATGAGGGACCTAGAATAGACAACATCATACAGACAGAAGAGAGAGGGTACCTCTCTCCTCAGGGAGAGAGGAACAGGGAGTCACTGTTTAAGGGGTACAGAGTTCAGGGCGCCTGGGTGGCTCAGTTGGTTAAGCGTCTGCCTTCAGCTCAAGTCATGATCCCGGGATCCTGGGGTCGAGCCCCGCATTGGGCTCCCTGCTCAGCGGGGAGCCTGCCTCTCCCTCTACCTCTCCCACTCCCCCCTGCTTGTGTTCCCTCTCTCTCTATCAAATAAATAAAATCTTAAAAAAAAAGGGGGGGTACAGAGTTCAGTGTGGAGTGACGAAAAAGTCCTGGAAAATAGACAATGGTGATGGTTGAACAAGACTGTGAATGTCATTAATGCCACTGAGCCGTACACCTAAAAATGGTGAAAGTGGTAAATTTTGTGTTATGTATATCTTATCAAAATTAAGAAAATAATAATAATAATAAAACTATAAGGAATTACTACTTTTTCAACTATCAGATTGACGACGACGAAAAGTATCATCATAGCACTATTTTGGTGAGGCTATGGGTAGCATGAATTGGTACCATCCTCATGAAAGGAAACTCACCAATATCTGACAAAATTCCAAATGCACATACCTTTGACTTAGCAATTCCACACCTGAGTATTTATCCCACAGAAGACAACCTCACACATATAAAAAATGATGTATTTTGATAGTGTGGTTTGAAATGACCATCCACAGGGGACTGAGTAAATAAGATTAGGTACATGTATCCCAGGAGAAAACCATGCCTTTATTTTAAAAGAGGTGACTCTACACAGCCTGATATGAATTAGCTCTAAGGCACACTGTTACATGGACAAAACCAAAGCATTAGTATGTTGCTGTTTTGGCATAGAGGGAAAAAGGCCATACATGTGAAGTAACTGTATATGCAACAGCATATTTCCGTAAAAATATACAAGAAAACGGTTAGGGGCGCCTGGGTGGCTCAGCCGTTAAGCGTCTGCCTTCGGCTCAGGTCATGATCCCAGGGTCCTGGGATCGAGCCCCGCATCGGGCTCCCTGCTCGGCGGGAAGCCTGCTTCTCCCTCTCCCATTCCCCCTGCTTGTGTTCCTTCTCTCGCTGTGTCTCTCTCTGTCAAATAAATAAATAAAATCTTTAAAAAAAAAGAAAGAAAGAAAATGGTTAACAGTAGCCTCCAGAGAAAATAAGTGGTTTGCAGAAGTAGGGGAACAGGGTGGGAAGGACTAACTTTCCACTGGGTACCATGTGCAAATAGTAACTCTTCAGAAATGAATTCTTTTTTTTTTAACATTTTATTTTGGGGGCACCTGGGTGGCTCAGTCAGTTAAGCATCTGCCTTCAGCTCAGGTCATGATCCTAGGGTCCTGGGATCAAGCCCCCTGTCAGGCTCCCTGCTCAGTGGGGAGTCTGCCCCTCCACCTGCTCCTGCGTGCGTGTGTGTGTGCGCGTGCGTGCACGCATATACGTGCCCCCTCTCTCTCTCAAATAAATAGATAAAATTAAAAAAAAAAAAAAGATTTTATTTTTAAGTAATCTCTACACTCAACGTGGGGCTCAAACTCACAACCCTGAGATCAAGAGTCGCTCGCTCTACCGACTGAGCCAGCCAGGCGCCCCCAGAAGTGAATTCTTAAAAGAAAGAAGGTAACTGTAACCATGGTAGGAGTTAGGATAATAAACCTAGAAGGCTGAGGCAAGAGGAGGAGGAGGAGACAGCTGGTCCCACTCCTATTCCTCTCCCACCCTTACTGTGTCTGAGAAAGAAATCATGAAGTGTGTTCCTGGCTGTGTGTCCCGATCACTGAAAGAATCCAACCCAAGTTCAAGGTTCTCTGCGGCCCAGCTTGTTATGTTACACATCCCCCAGGAAAGGAAAAGCAGGGCCCTTGAAGCTCCATTGCTTGGACTAGCCACATACAAATGACTTAGCCTCCCTCAGCCTCAGTTTTCTTATCTATAAAATGGGCATTCACCCAACAGTCATGAGGATTACATGAGCTAAGCACGCAGTATCATGTCTGGTACATGGTTACATGCTCAAAAAGCTATTCTTTCAACAATTACCTATCGAATGCCTACTACCTGCCAGGCTGGGTTCCAGAATGTTCCTATGAGGTACTGATGTCCAAGCCAGCCAACCTGCTCTCGTGTGGGTTCCATCGCTCTAGCCATAGGGGCTGCCGCCCCCAGGGCAGGGGGGCAGCTCCAGTGGCCTGTCCTCCCTCCCAGAGCCGCCTCTGACAGGGCTGCAGAGTTCCTGAAAAGAAAACTAGTCTGGCAGCACCTGAGAAAGTTAATGGAGAATTTTTTTCTTGCCAAGAAAAAAACAATTGCTTATCGATCTTCACTCCAGGCCAAGGACACCAAGCCATCCACCCCCAGCAAAGCTGCTTTTAATCAGTCTCCTTGACAAGCTGGCGTCTGGCCAGGGCCTTGGCCCTTGAGGTCTGGAGGAGGCAGGACGGAAATGAAGGCCTCTGTGCTGGAGGG